GCTCCCTCCTGTTCCTGAGGTCCTTGTCCATGGCCAGCAGTATGTGGGGTGGAAGGGGCAGAGATGTTGGTGGGTCTCAGCTTGGGGAGGACAGGAAGGGGCACAGACAGGGGGCTAAGGTCCCCTTGCCCAGCTCCCTGCTGCTCATGCTCCCAGAGGGACCCTGAACCCTTCCCCCAGGCAGTGGAGGGGGCCCACTGTATGTAGCTGGGCCTCCGTGCCTCCTTTCTTGCCCTCTGCCCCCCAAGGGCGTCCTTGCCCTCTCCCTGGGGCACTGGGGACCAGAGAGGGAGAAGACCATTTTCTTTTCCTTTTTTTTTTTTTTTTTAAAGATTTTATTTATTTATTTGACAGATCACAAGTAGGCAGAGAGGCAGGCAGAGAGAGAGGAGGAAGCAGGCTCCCCGCTGAGCAGAGAGCCCGATGCGGGGCTCCATCCCAGGACCCTGGGATCATGACCTGAGCCAAAGGCAGAAGCTTTAACCCACTGAGCCACCCAGGCGCCCCGAGAAGACCATTTTCTAAGCGCCTCCCATGGGGGCTTCCCTCCCTTTCCTTCTCTCAGGGCCCAAGTAGCAGTGGCTGGCTTGAGCTAAGGGCCTGCCACGGTGGGATTCCCAAGCTGAGGGCTTGGAGTAGCGTTGCCTAAACAACGTGGTCCCCCATGCACCAACCCCTGAGCCTCAGTTTCTCAGTCTGTAAAATGAGGGTGAGAAGGTTCTTGTGCCCCCAGGGCTGTGGGAGGTTGAGCCAGGATGGGTGACTGCTTTGGGCATTGGGGCACCCTGGGCAGGGAGGCTGGTCTACGGGTCTAGCCTGGCCCAGTGGGGGACACTACACTGCTGGCTCAGACCTCGAGAGCAGAGCTTACCTGTGGCTGCTTGTTCAGTTCAAGGTGAAATTCAGATCATGCACAATGAGCCATTTGAAAGTGTGTGATGCAGTCGTAGTCAGTGCATTTGTAATGGGCAGTCACCAGCTCTCTGGTTTCTAAATTAAAAATTGATTTTAGGGGGTGCCTGGGTGGCTCAGTGGGTTAAGCTTCTGTCTTTGGCTCAGGTCATGGTCTCAGGGTCCTGGGATCGAGCCCCACATCGGGCTCTCTGCTCAGCGGGGAGCCTGCTCCCCCCCCCCCGCCTGCCTCTCTGCCTACTTGTGATCTCTGTCAAATAAAATCTTTATTTTTTTTTAATTTTATTTTTTTTTTTATTTGTCAGAGAGAGAGAGAGAGCAAGCACAGGCAGACAGAGTGGCAGGCAGAGGCAGAGGGAGAAGCAGGCTCCCTGCTGAGCAAGGAGCCTGATGCGGGACTCGATCCCAGGACGCTGGGATCATGACCCGAGCTGAAGGCAGCTGCTTAACCAACTGAGCCACCCAGGCGTCCCTCAAATAAAATCTTTAAAAAAAAATTGATTTTAGGGGTGCCTGGGTGATTCACTCTGAAGTGTCCCGACTCTTGGCTTTCCTCGCAGGTCGTGGTCCTCGCTGTTGATGGATCAAGCCGCATGTGGGGTTCTGTGCTCAGTGCAGAGTTGGCTTCCAATTCTCTCTCCCTCTCCCACCTGTGTGTTCTCTCCCTCGAATAAATGAATAAATAAATAGAAAGTAAAACTTAAAAAAAATAATAAAAGTAAACTTGGATTTTAAGGAGGGGCAGGTGGAATTTGGGTAGAGGAAGCCGTCCTACTCAGACCCTGACCTTGAGCATTTGCTCTACTTCTCTGAGCCCCAGGGTTTGTCCCGATACAGAGTGAAAACGTTGGGCCAGCATTGCCGGACACCTCACAGAAGCATTCCACAAATCACCTTTTACTCTGTGATCCACCTTGCACAGCTTGGAGATGTTCAGAAGCCTGCCCAGAGTCCCAGAGCAAATGGGCAGTGGAGCCAGGGTCGGACTTCCTGTCATCCCTGCGGACCCCTCTGTCACCTCCCTTCCCAGGGTTGTCAGAGGCCCCATCCCCGTCCCCACTCCCGTTTCCGGCAAAGAGGAGCCTTCACGGACCGTGGCTAAATGAAGTCTAAATTAATTAAAATTTAATAAAATTAAAGATGTGTTTCCTCGCCAGCCACACGTCCGTGCTCTGCAGCCACAAGTACCGGCGGCTCCTGTAGGGTCCGCACAGAGAGGCAGCATGCGTCCGACACGGTTGGCTATGGGCCCGGTTGCCTGGTGTGTTCTGAATGGCAAGCTGGGCACTTGCGGGAACCCTCTGACGGTTACTCTGGTGGGCTCCGGGGTCCAGCTCTGCTCCTGGCCGGGGGCGCTATGACTTGAGACGGTTGGTTGTCCTCAGTCCCCTGAGAAGATTCCAGAAACGACCCGTGGGGCAGTGAAGTGGTTTAGGCACATGTGATGCCAGGTTCCTGTCCCTGTTGGTAGGGTGTTGGCTGTTACTCTTCTGGAGGATGATCAAAGATAATTGTGTGTTGTGGGTGGCTGGCATTAGTTTCCCCGGACGCCCGGAGCAGGTGGCACGTCTGGCCACCAGGGGGCAGCCTGGGATCAGGGTGGGGGCCGGCCTGGCGCTCAGCCCAGGGTGGGAGTGAGTGAGACTGGAGGATTTCCAGCCAAGTCTAGGGAGAGTCCAGTGGGTCCCCAGGGGTGGGTGTGAGGAGCAGCAGGGGTGCATAGCTAGATTTTGAGGAGAGCACCAGGTTTGCTGGGGTGGGGGGCGGGGCCTCACCAAGCCTCCTGGAGATGCAGCCAGATGGCCTGTGATGGCACATGGTGTCCTCGGGGGTCAGAGGGTGTACCTACCCTCTCTCCTAATCCTGACGTGTCTACTGCTTTTGCCCCGAGGGCATTAGAAACAGTGTTCCCATCGTCTGTCCAAAAAGTGACACCTGCTACATGCCGGTCAGGTCCCGGGCACTGGATGTGGCAGGGAGGGAAGGATGATGGAGGGATCTATGTTGTAACCAGGTGTCACCGGTGGAGGCTTGGATGCGGTGGCCAGGAGGGCCCCTGGGAGAGGTCTTCAGGGCGACCCAGGGGCTGGTTTGATGTGGGGCTGGCGTGTCCATTGGACATGGTTGTGAACCTGTGGTCTGGGAGGGGTGTGCACTGGCCCGTGGTTTTTCCAGGGCACCGGCATCCTGGCTGGACCCAGGGAAGGGAGTTGGGGCACCGTTGAGCCCCTGTGGCAGGCGGGAGCCGTTGGTGGCATCCGGGCACCAACGCCCCACCAGGCCTTGGGAGCCGCTGGGCGGGTTTCACAAGCCTGGGCAGGGGCAGGCCTGGGCCACCCGGCTTCCGCGCGGCCCAAGGCAGGAAGAGTTGGTGGCTGATGTAAGCCCTTGCGCAAACCTCTGGCTGCCGGCTTCCGGAGCCTTCTACCCGCCTGCCTGCCTGCCAAGGAGGAAGCCTGGGGTCTAGCGGGGCCCAGAGGCCCTGCTGCCCGGGCTGGGGCCACATGGGTGTACTGATCGGCCACCATGGCCCTCGGTCCCGAAGGCTTGGCTCTGGAGTCCGGTGAGGGGGCTGGGTGAGGCTGGGCTGGAGCATGGGGGGCTCCCCAGACGCGGGGTGCTGGATGGCACATGTGGCCAGAAGGTGTCCTCCTGCCTGCTGCTGTCTCCACTCTGGAGGACCAAGGCAGAAGCCCTGCCCCTGCAGCCTTGGTTTCCCCGCCTGCCCCCCAAAGGGAGTGGGATGGACGTTCTGGCATCCTGTGCCCCCGGGAGGCAGCGAGTGAGCACCTGTTGTATACAGACCCTGCGTACGGGGCTGCGGGAGACCCAGAGGTGGGACAGGGCTTTGGGAACCCCCTGTGGCCTGGGGCCCCCCCCCTGGAATCACTTCCCTGGGTCATTGCAGACGGTACCTGCTTCCGGGGTTGCAGAGAATAGCTCCTGCTGGATGCTTTGTGACCCTCCCGCTCAGCTCTGTGTACAGGCCTCTGCCCCTCCTCCTGGGGGCGTTGGGGGAGGGTTCGGGATCCCTGCAGACTGTGTGCTGCCGCTGCGTTGTTACTCTTGTTTAGGTCACGCTTCCCTCTTAAGGGAGGCGTTAGTGTTCCCATTTTGCCGATGAGCGAACTAAGGTCAGGGGAGGGCAGTCCCTTGCCCAAGTGTCCTAGGCTCCCTCTGGCCGGTGACCTGGAGGCCTGCTGGGATCTTCTCCTGAGCGGTGGGGTGTATGGATCCTGAGGGCCAGTGCTCCTCGGGGCCACAGTGAGGGGCGTCCCTCCTGGCATGGGCCTGGCCAAGTGGGGCGTGGCAGGGCCCGGTGCTTTCCACCCAGCCCCCCCCCCCCCCCGTGCCTTATTCCCCAAGCGGCAACTGGCCACCGCATGCCCCATCTGAGGGACGTTGGGTGGGAGGCCTGGGGCTCTCCTTCCTGTGCTGTTTCTCTCGCTGACTCCCTGTAGTCCTGGGATGTTTGCTGGGTGTGTGTCCCCAGCGGCGGGTCCCTGGCTGTGGGACCAGGCACTCTCCACCCCCCCCTCCAAACCCTAGTATCAGCTTCCTCATGCCTTAAATGGGTGCACAGTTCCTCCCTCACCAGGCTGGCTCAGAGCTCCACAGGGTCCTCACCGGGGAGGTAGGGGGAGGGATCCTCCTGAACTGGGAGCTCAGAGCATGAGGGGGGTGTATGTCATGTAGACCCTGAGCCCCCCACCCCCACCCCCACCCATTCACGCTGTTGCCTCAGGAGGTCCCTGCCCCCAGCCGTGCCTCAGCGTTCATGGGCAGGTTGGAGGGACTGTCCCCTCCTGCTGAGCACTGGGTGTCTTGGAGGCGAGGGCCTTCTGTGGTGGTGGGCTTCTTTCTGGCCTGTTCCTCTGGGGCTGTGTGTGCAGGTTTTTCAAGTACTGGGTATGGTTGAGAGGACAGGCCTGTCCTGAGCCCAAGGGTCTGGGGCAGGCCAGGAAGGTTTCTTTGGTGTTCCTGACAGTGTCAGCTCTGAGAAGTGGGGGAGACATGGGGAACTCGGGGTGTTGGGCCGGGCAGTGGGGGCGTGGTGGGTGCCTGACAGCCCCCCCTTCTCTCTGCAGGCGAGGCCTTCTTGGGCAGCTTTGTGGCCAGCGGGATGGGGCCCTCAGCCTCGTCCCATGGGAGCCCCGTGCCCCTGCCCTCTGACCTCTCCTTCCGCTCCCCTACCCCCAGCAACCTGCCTATGGTACAGCTGTGGGCTGCTCATGCCCATGAAGGTAAGGAGTGTGCCAGGTGGGCGGGGCTGAGGGCTGCTGTCCCTTCCACCTCCGGTCATCTCTCCTGCGGTGGCTGGGGGTGGGGGGCGAGCCCTGGTCATTCAGCCTCCCTGCTGGTTTTCAAACGCTCAGTGCTTCCTCTGGTCCCTGCCACAGGGCCTTTGCACAAGCCAGTTCCTCTGCTACAGCCCCTAACTCACCCACTGTTCATCCTGTAGGACTCAGTGGACCCCCCTCCCCTGGTGTACCTCTCAACTTGTGAAGACAGATATTTTCTTACCAGAGTGAGCTCTGAGGGCAGGGCCTAGTTTGTTCTGCTCACCATTGACTCCCTGGGGGCCCTCGATAATCACTGTTGGAGCAGTGGGACCAGGGCCAGAGGGCTCTCCTGTGGCAGTTCCTCAGTGGCACTCCAAACTGTGGGCATCTGGGAGCTCTGCAAATCCTGGACCCCCCTGGGGCCACACTTCCCTCTGTCAGTGAAGAGATGGGCCTGGGGGACTGTGAGCTCCTTCCCCGCCTCTGATGGACTTTGGATGCTGGGTCCTAGGAGCACCTGCTGCAGGCTGAGGGCTTTCCTGGGCTTTTCACGGCTCACCGTCTGCCCACGTCCTCTGCCAGGGTCTCAGCAAGGCCCTATCATCATCTGTACCCATCGTGGGGTGGGGGTGGTCCTGCCTCTCCAGGCCTGGGATGGTGGGCAGTCCTTTGGGACTGGGGTCCCATTTGAGCCTCCCACTTCAGCCAGCCAGGGCAGGGCCGGGGGTGTGTGGGGGGACCTGGAGAACAGAGAGGCTGCCTGGTGTCTCCGTGCTGCCAGTTTGTGCCACTGCCCTTCCTGACTCCTTTTTCTCCCGTGTTGCAAACACTAGTCACGTAGAAATGGTTACAGACCTGTGCACGCACTGCACAGCTGAACTCACCGTATCCCTCACCCCCGACCAGCTGTGAGAGAGGGACTGCTAGGTCTCTTTCCCAGATGAGAAGGCGTGGGGATCCCATGTGGTGTTTCATTGGCGGAAAAGAGATCATGAGCATCAGGTGGTCTTGATTATTCGGTGATTGTTGTTAACGCGCCATTATCAAGGAACGCCATTATCAAGGGCACTGTGGGAGGAGTGTGGGTCCCCTGCGGCCAGGGTCAGGCCTTGGATCTCTGGTCTTAGAGGGGGCAGCTGGGAGCACGTGCTACCAGCGTCTCAAGATCTCTGATAGGCCTGTGGTCCAGGAGGACCCCCCAGCCCAGGCAGACCCTCAGGACCCTCCCCCAGTGCCCAGTGCCCTCCAGCCCACCAGTCTGCCTGACTTTCTGGGCCCTGCTGAACGGCTCTTGGGCCTTCGTTCTCCGTGGGCCCTTGGAGGAGTCTCCTTTCTCTGTGGCTACCCTCCTGTCTTCTCTGTCCCATGGAGCCCTGATTCTGGGCAGCCCTGGTGGGAGGAGACTGGGAGGATTCTCCCCAGGAGACATTGACCCAACAGCTGCAGATGCTGTGTGGGCTGACAATTCAGATCAGGTGAGTGACCTGCTCGGGGTCACACAGCAGAGAACGGACTGATTAAACCAGTAAACCGCTCCACCGGTCTGTGCTAGGCCGAGGTGAATAGTCCCAATGATTCCCATTAAATGTCAGGCTCCTCTATACTGGGTGACTTTAGCCAGGGGTCTTCTCTGAGCCTCTGTTTTCTCATCTATAAAGTGAGGATCCTACCTGCTTCACAGAATTTCGTTGAAGTTTCCGTGAGAATAACAAAGGCAGAGCCGTTGGCAGTGTTGGGCCTGTGGTTAGGGTTGTCATCATCCCAGTTCCCTACCTGGTTGGATCCATTTGATTCCTCTTCTTGGGGGTTTTGAGAGCCCGAGCCCCTTGGGCTGCCTGGCCTGGAGGGAGGCCTGAAGTGCCACAGTCTTGGGGGGAGCTAGCCGTAAATCTCAGGACCCCGTGAATAAACCAGGCTAAAATATTTTATTTTCAAGAAAAAGAGAGGGATGGAAGGAAGTTCCTCGTGGGAGTGCATGTGGTGGGACAGTTCAGTTTTTCTCTTCTCTTTTCCAGGCTTCTCCCATCTGCCCAGCGGGCTGTACCCATCCTACCTCCACCTGAACCACCTGGAGCCCCCCAGCAGCGGGAGCCCCCTCCTCAGCCAGCTGGGCCAGCCCAGCATCTTCGATACCCAGAAAGGTATGATGAGGGGGGCAGGAGAAGGGAGACTGGGCTTGGGGGCTAACTTCTGAGGGGCTTGTCTGGGGCCCCCACCACTACCCAGTATTGTTCTCTGAGACCCCTGTTCCTAAGCTCCCCCCCCTCCCCGCAGCCTTCTGGTGCCTTCTGGTTGTGCTGTGCTCGCCCAGTCCTCTTAGGCCCTTAAAACAGTCCTGTCCTGCGCCCCCTTTACAGGTGAGACTGAGGCTCGGGAAGGTCAGCAGCCAAGGCGAGATTGGGAACTCAGTACCCTTCATTTCCAGAGTCTCCCCTCCCAAAGGCTGCGCCGAGCACCAACCTCCTCCTTAACCTGGGGGTTACAGAGGGCCCCGCAGGGACCCCGCTTCTGGCTGGCTCGAGGGAGGACACTCTCACGCCCACACCCTCTCTCCCCCACAGACGGCTTCTACCTGCCCGCCCCGGGGGCTCCGGGTGCCCTGCACTCTCACGCGCCCTCCTCCAGGACCCCGGGCGGCCACTCCTCCAGCGCCCCGGCCAAAGGCTCTTCGCGGGAAGGTCCAGCCAAGGAGCGGGCGGGCCGCGGCGGGGAGCCGCCCCCGCTGTTCGGCAAGAAGGACCCGAGGGCCCGCGAGGAGGCTGCGGGGCCGCGCGGCGTGGTGGACCTGACCCAGGAGGCGCGGGCGGAGGGGCGCCAGGACCGCGGGCCCCCGCGCCACGCTGAGCGCCTGTCGCCCTTCCTGGCCGAACTGGGGCCGCCGCGCGGGCCGGGCGCCGCCGCCGAGTGCAAGGGCAAGAACCCGCCCCCGCCGCCGCCCCCGCCCCCGGCGCTGAGCCTCTGCAACGGCGCGGGCGACACAGGGCTCCCCGCGCTGGTGGCCAAGGAGGCGGCGCGCCAGGACGAGAGCGCGCGGCTGCGGCGCGCAGAGACCCTGCTGCCCGGGCCGTGCCCTTGCCCCTCGCCGCTCCCGCCGCCACCCAAGGGCCCGCCCGCGCCCCCCACCGCCCCGGCGGGGGCCTTCGCCGCGCCACAGCCCGCGTCCGCCGGCGTCTACACCATCTTCCCCGCGGCGGCGGCGGCGGCGGCGCGCGAGCCGGGCCGCGAGCACCGCGTGGTGGCGCCCACCTTCGTGCCTTCCGTGGAGGCCTTCGACGAGCGCCCGGGGCCCATCCAGATCGCGTCGCAGGCGCGCGACGCCCGGGCCCGGGAGCGCGAGGTGGGCAGGCCCGGCGTCCTGCAGGCGCCGCCCGGGTCCCCGCGGCCGCCCCCAGAGCGGCCTGAGGCGCTCCGCGAGAAGAACTCGGTCATCCGCTCGCTCAAGCGGCCGCCGCCCGCCGAGGCCCCGCCGGCGCGGGCCGCGCGCGCCTCCCCGGATGCCCGGGCCTACCTCCCCGCCAAGGAGCTGCTCAAGCCCGAGGCCGAGCCGCGGGCCTGCGAGCGCGCCCCCCGCGGCCCCGCCGCCGCCCCCCAGCAGGCCTCCAAGCTGTTCGGCCTGGAGCCCGCGCGGCCACCACCGCCGCCCGCCGGCCCTGAGCCCAAGTGGAAGCCTTTCGAGCTGGGCAACTTCGCCACCACGCAGATGGCTGTGCTGGCCGCGCAGCACCACCACGCCAGCCGCGCCGAGGAGGAGGCGGCCGCCTCCAAGAAGGCCTACCTGGACCCCGGGGGCGCTCTGCCCCGCGCCGCGGCCGCCTGCGCCAGACCCGGCGCCGACGTGCATGCCGCGGCCCACGGGCCAGGGGAGGCCTCCGCCATGCAGAGCCTCATCAAGTACAGCGGCAGCTTCACCCGCGAGGCCGTGGCCGTGCGCCCTGGCGGCTGCGGCAAGAAGAGCCCTTTCGGAGGCCTGGGCACTATGAAACCCGAGCCTGCGCCCACCACCGCGGGCGCCCCGCGCACCCAGGCCCGCCTGCCACACCCTGGCGGCCCTGCGGCCGGTGGAAGCCGGCAGTTGAAGCGGGACCCGGAGAGGCCCGAGAGCGCCAAGGCTTTCGGGCGTGAGGGCTCTGGGGCCCAGGGAGAGGCAGAGGTGCGACACCCGCCCGTGGGCATTGCGGTGGCCGTAGCCCGGCAGAAGGACAGTGGCGGCAGTGGCCGGCTGGGGCCTGGGCTGGCAGACCAGGAGCGCTCCCTGTCGCTGAGCAACGTCAAAGGTGGGTCTCCGGTCCCACCTTTCACCATCTCCATTTTTTCACCCTCGCCTTCCAAATCCTGTCCACCTTTGCTTCTCATCTACCTGTCTCAGGCTCGTTTTGGCCTCTTCTCCCCACTCTCCTACCGTTTGTCCTTTATTCACTTGTGGGCTGCGGCTGCTATTTTGAAATTGACTGCTTTTTCCATTATGCACGTAGAAAAATGTGTAAAACGGAAAGGAGGAATGACAGAAATTACTCTATTTTCCCAACACCCTGAACACTTTCCGATCATTCCCTGTTGCACCTGCAGGGTTCCTAGACTACCCCCAATGCCTCTCCCTGCATTCTTCATGCTTACCATGTAGCTTTTCTCCTCTCCCTGTTGGGAAATCATTATAAAAATTTTTCACGACCTTCACTGTCCTGTCTAGAGCACACACCATAGTTCAGCTAACCATTCCTCTCGTGGGCTTTCCCCCCCCCTTCTCTGATGTTTTTGTGCTTGTAATGCTGTATGGAATATTTCTGTGCGTTTCACCTTCTTGGTATTTTGAGTCATTTTCTAAGAATAGGTTCCTAGGAGCAGGCTGGTTTTAAGTCTTCAGTCCTTAGTTCTTGAGGGAGTAACTGCCTTACCTAGTTCGTTGTTCCCCAGACCTAGTGTGGGATCTGGTGCATAGTAGGTGTTTGATAAGTGAGTGAATGAGTGACCGAGGGTGATGGATAGAAACTGGGTCCCTGTGTTCTCATGGGTTTTGACGTTTAGTACCTCCGTGCCTAAAAAAAAAAAAGGCTGTTGCTAATTTCGGTGGGCAAGAGTGGTGCGTTTCTTTTAAGTATTGGTGAAGCTGAGTCTTTTTCTAGGATTTGGTCCGATGTGTTTCTTTTTGTCCCTTGCATATGCGCTGTTGGAATGGGGTTTTGGAGGGTTGATGTTTGTGGCATTTTTTTTTGGAACTGTGGACTTGATCTGCCCATTGTGGAGCCGAGAACGCTTCCTACAGGTTGGGTGGGTGCTAGGCTGTAGCCCCGACCTGGATGGTGTCTAGTGTGTTGTGGTGTGGGGTTTGAGATTATTTCCCACTGTCCTTGCTCTTGTGACTTCTCAATAGCTGGCCTGGATTTCTTCCCCGTGCCTCTGTTCCCAGTGTCTGGCCAGCTTCCCTTACTCAGCTGGTACCCAGCTTAGACCTTACCCATGTCCTGGGCCCCTGTCTCTGGCACCCACGTGGCCCCCTTTCCTATACCTCCCAGACTTTACTCCTGGAGGCTGTGTAGGCATCTGGAGTGAATGTCTTCTGGGACCCACTCCCTTTCTTGGTCTGGCCCACCTGTGCTAAATTCTGGACTTTGGCCTCGGTCCATGGCGCGTAGCCACCGTCCTGTCCCTGCTGTCTTAGCCCTGCTCTCCCAGGTGCGCCCAGGAAGGCACAGGGCTGCCCTGGGACTCCTGCTGGCCCTCGCCCCAGCCATTTGCATGCACAGGGTAGCTGCCGGGGATCTTCATCCAGCCTAGAGTGAGAGACACTCCCTGGATGTTTGTGGGATGACTGCGCCCATGGTTCTTTCTGGAGCCTGAGTGAAGGAAGCCTGTTCCCTGACCCAAGGGGCTGGCCCCAGGCACTGCCTCATTCTGGGATTGAAGGAGTGGATGGCAGCACAGAGGTGGCTGGCTTCGTGAGGGATGAGCCCTTCTGCTAGGACAGAGGTTTGCATCCGGGGAACCTTTTGGGAGGCCCGAGATCTCTTTGCGTCCTCTCTCTGAAGGAATGGTCATGTGACATGGCATTTCACCCCTGTTGGGGGCTCAGAGTCCTGAGTGTCTGCCCAGGTCCAAGGGACATGTGTCCGTGGGGTCCTGTGAGAGAGAGAGAGAGAGAGAGAATGCATGTTTGAGTATGTGTGAGAGAAAATGTATGTGCTTGAGAGAAGACCTATGAGAGTGCGCACGTGAACATGCGTGAGACGGTGTGCGAGCGCTTGTGCACGTGACTGTGACAGGGTATGTGTGACATGGACGGAGTGTGTGTGTGTGCGAGAATGTGTGACAGTGTGACACTGTGTGACTGAGAATTTGTGATGCTGTGATAGTATGTGTGCGCGTACGAGAACGCGTGTGACTGTAGCGGTGACTGATAGTGATGGGTGCGAGTGTGGGTGTGAGTGTGTGAGACGGTGTGTGTGAGGGTGTGTGTGAGGGTGACAGTGTGACTCTGACGGTGCGTGTGACTGGCAGTGACGGTGGCAGCATGTTACTGTAGTAGGGACGTGAGAGAAATGTGTGTGACGTTATGTGTGACCGCGCGTGTGACTACATGAGTGTGACCTCGACTGTGTGTGAATGAATGTGTGAGTGTGGCAGTGGGATATGTGAAAGTGACAATGTGTGTGATGGGGCAGTGTGACTCAGTGACAGCGTGTGACAGTGCGTGTATGTGGAACAGCGTATGTGTGTGACAGAATGTGGGGAAGGAGGGAGGGAGGAAGGAGGACCTACCTGATGGGCTTGGGATGAGACGTTCAGGCGTTGGTCACTGGCGGCCTTCGGAAAGTAGGCAGCTGGGTTCTTTCCCTTAACACAGTTCCCGTCAGAAGTAGTGGTTTTTCCCAATACTGGCACACTTGGGGAAGGGCAGGAATTGGGGGCACCCCAGCCGAGCGGGTGGTCGTCAGCCTGTGCCTCCTGGTCTCCTCTCACCTTCCTTGTCTCTTGAATTTTTGGAGAGAGCCTTCTGCTGGTCAGTGCGTTCAAAACCGGTCTTTGCCTCATCAGGTGTGTGACCTTAAACAGGAGGCCCGAGCCTTCTGGGCCCCGGTGTCCGCACTGACCATGCAGCTGCTGGGCACACAGTAGGTGTGTCATAACCAGGCCTGCCTTCTCTTGGCACACGTTCAGCGTTTTGGGGTCTGAGAGCTTGTGGCAGAGCCTGTGAGTTCTAGATCTTTTGGAGAAATGCCCCTGGCGGCCCATACAGGCCCGGAGATGGGGTAAGGACAGGCGTGACCTACAGCCATGAGCCCGAGTGACTGGTGGTGCGTCCCCGGATGCCCAGCACAGCCACTGTCATTCAGCGGGTGGCCCCAGGAGAACCTGGTCGTTAGGTGGAACCAGCCCAGGCCCCCAGCAGCCCCTGGCAGGAGGATCTGTTGCTCTCTCGGCTTTCCCTTTAGGGAGAGCGGGCCCTGAGGAGGTGAAGGGACTGGCCCAGGGTCCCTGGGCTGGAAGGGGCAGGCTGAGCTTGAACAGACCTCGGCCCAGGTTTATGGCTCCTACATTTTCTTCTTGCCCGTTGGTGTCACCGCTGTGGTGGAGGCATGGGGGTGGGGACTCTGGCAGGAGGGGCTGTGGGGGTGCGCCCGCGTCACCCCAGACAGAGCTGGGGTCGTGTGGTGTCAGCAGCAGTGATGGCCCCGGATCCTAGAGAGTGCTCGGTCAGCCTGAGCCGGCAGCAGCCACATCACACCTGCCAGAGGGACACGGGATGGGGTTGCCGTGGGAACCAGGCCTCAGTCCTGGCTTCTACTGGGATTGGAGAGGCTGTGGCCTCGTGGTCCTGGGCCCTGGGGCAGGGCTGCAAATGCATGATAACAGCAGTGCTGCCGTGTCCCCAGCACAAGTGCTGTGCAGCTCCGTGCGAGGTGCAGGAGCCTCAGCGGCCGGGAAGACACTCCGATGCCAGTCCCAGCCAGGGAAGCCGCCTTGTTGGTCCGGGGTGTGACCTGGGCAGGTTGCTTGGCCTTCCTGTGCCTCAGTTTCCTAATCTAGAGTGGGTTGAGTTCTGGGACCCACGTCCTGGGTTGACGACCCCTGAGTGAGTGAATGCACGGAGAAGATCTAGGGTCCTTCTGGGCACAGAAGGGCTGGGGTGAGGTCTGTGTCTCTGGACCCTGCCCCACATGCCTGGGTCATGGAGGAGGAGCTGGTCTCCCACCGGCCTGGGACTCAGCGTGGAGGAGTGATTGGGCCCTCTGGTTCACTCTTCCTCTGGCTTCCCCTCCCACCTTGAACAAAATCTAAACCACGTTCCCTTCCACAGTCTCCAGGACCCTGTCGTCTGTACCCACCTCTTCTGTTATCTCAACCCCAGGCACCTCTCTTGCTTATTGGTCTCTCTAGCCACCATGGTCTCCTTGATGTTCTCTGGCACGCTTCTGCCCCAGGGCCTTTGTACTTGCTATTCCTGCTACATAGCTCATTTTTTCTGTAGATATCTTCAGGGCTCCTTCTTTTTTTCCCTCCCTTCCTCCCTCCCTTCCTTCTTTCTTTCCTTCCTTCCCTGCCTATTTATTGAGCAGCTCCCCCTGTGCCAGGTGTTGTGTTGGGAAGAGGTACACAGCCAGGAGCGGGACTCCTTGAACCAGAGCAGTACATTGGGTTATGGAGGAAGCAGGTGGCAGACTACCAGCAAGCAGGGTAGTAGCATGTTGTGGTCACTGATGGGAGGGAGACACATAAGGGAGCTTCGTGGAGGAGAAATGGTCTGGGAGGGCTTCCTGGAGGAGGTGGCTTTGAAGGCGAGCTCTGACAGGAGAGCCTAAGCAGTCTTGGGGAAGGGCACTCTGGGTAGAGGGAACAGCATGTGTGGCCCTGAGGTGACTGGAGTGCGGAAAGCCAAGGTCATAGGGGCATGGTTCTGTGGGGCTGGCGGTCTGCGGGAGGGGCAGTTGTGAATAGGTGACAGGTTGACGTGGAAGGAGAAGGGTAGATCTGTAGTTCAGCCAAGCCTGGGTAGTGTGGGCATGTCCTCTTTCTTCAAGAGACCAACCGAATTTGGAGGGAGCTGCTCTGGGGCTCTGACTTGAGTGACCTTGGGGCTGGTGGGTCCCCTAAGGTGGGTGGGGCTGCAGACAGGTTTGCGGTGGGAGGTAGGGCCAGAGATGGGAAGCCGCTGACACCCTGAGTGATTGGTGACAGCCACGGCAATGGAGAGGCATCGGGCCAGAGGACAAGGGACTTGGATCCAAGATACCCTGTGGGCACTTGTCCCTTTCGAGGACGTCAGGAATTAGTGCCAAAGCCTGTACCTAAATCCAGGGTGGCCCAGGGAGTGGGAGGCCATCTCCTCTGGGAGAAGGAAGCTGGGCGCACATGCTGACTTCCCAGCCCAGCCACAGGACGCTAGGTGGCCGTCCACACGTCAGCCCTGCCTGCAGCCCCGGCTGTCCTTCTGGCCCTCCCTACCTCGGGGGATCCCTGAACAGGGCCCCTTCCAGTCCTTTATGAAGTGGGCGAGTGGGCTCAGGCTCCCTTTGGATACGGGAGCCACACTGACACCGGAGGCCAGGGGCACCCTGGCTGGGTCTCAGCCCAACCTGGCTGTGGCACTGCGCTCCCTCGGAGGGCCTCTCCCCTCCCTGCCTGGGGCCCGGAGGGGTTGCGGTGATGTTGAGCTGGCGGTGTCTGCTCAGTGCCTTTGCCGACCATGGCCTTGCTGAATGGTAGAGTGGGTGGCCAGGGATGTACCTCGGTGTCCCCCAGGGGCAGGCTGTGAAGCCACGTGCTCCCTTGCCCGCCCGCACTCCTGCCAGGCTGCCGGATGCCCTCGTTGTTGGTGCTGATCCGCCAAATGCTCCCTGAGGTCCCCTGTTGTCCTGGCCCACCTGCGGAATTTGCGGGCCATCCTCCCAGGTGCTCTCACTGTCCCAGTGTCTCTAGCTGCCTCTGTACTCCTTTCCCCAGTGCTAGGCTGCTGGCTGTCCCCCTGGGGACTTGGTCCATGGGCACATGGGCTTGGGTTGCTGGCATGCTCTCTCAGGGCTCTTGCCCTTGGTCTTGGGGCTGGCAGGCTCCAGCCTTCCCCAGAGGACAGGGAGACACCCTGGCACCCCTGAGCCTCTCCTGGGGGCTCTGTTCTTTGCTAGCTCCTGGTTTTGGGGGTACGGGGGGAATAAAGAGGAGATGGCAGCATTTCAAGTGGGGTTCTTTCCCACGAGGGTGGGGGCTGCTGCTGGAGCAGTAACACCTGTGTGCTGGGGGGACCGGGACCGGGAGTGGCCTCCTCCCTGAGCATGAGTCCCAGCCCCAGTGGGTTTCTCTTTTGACAAAAGTCTCTGGTGCTTTCTGTGTGGTCTCTGCTGCCTCCCATGCCCTAGTGTGCCCCGGACTGCCACATGCGTCCCGAGTTCTGGCTTGTGGTGTAGAAAACGCCTAGGAAGAGGGGCTGGGACAGGAGTGGGAGGAAGGTGGCAGGCCGAGGAGGGACAGAGGAGACGGTGGGTGCCCTCCGTGGGCTCCTGCCCCGCCCCACCCCCCTTCAGTTAACTGGCTGAGTGCCAGGCTGGACTTGGGGACCTGCCTTCTCTGCTCTGAGGGGTCTCTGGGGGCTGGGCAGCTCATGGGAGGTGTGGTGGTACTAGCTTGGGTGGGTGGCATGTGCTGGGCAAGGGTGGGGACGGGGGAGCCCCAGTGGCAGCTCCTGCATTTTCTGCTCACCCCCACGTAGATCATCTTTTCTCTGGTTTTATTCTCCTGTCTCGATTTTGGAAAGATTAGCTGCATGCCTGCAACAGCTAGAACCCCGATGAGACTTCCATGGGGCTTGAGGATGGTGGCGGATTCCCTGGGACCTGGGTCTGGCTGTGCTGCTCTTTTGACTTGAGGTCTTCCCTCCATCCTACCCACCCCACCCCCAGAATCTGCCCTCCCACCCACAAAGTAGCAGAGCTGCGACAGTGAATGTACTTGGCCTTCTCGAGGGATCCGTCTTACAGCATGCTGGGCGGCTCCCCATGCGAGTGCGAGTTACAGACGGGCCCTCCGTGGGGTGTGGAAGGGCCTGGCACCAAGGACATCTGGCCGGGAGGGGGGGCTCGCTGGGGCCCCGGGTTGGGGGTCACCACCTGTCCACTCCCCTCAGGGCACAGCCGAGCTGATGGTGACTGTGGGGATGAGAGGACCAGGCACCGGGAGGAGCGGCTGTTGGGGGCGCGGCTGGACAGAGACCAGGAAAAGCTCCTCAGGTGAGGGCTTGGGGGCTACCCAGGGGCCGGGGCGCATGACCCTAGTGGGTGTGGCCTCTTGTCTTGGGAGCTGGAGCTATCCTGGCCCACGACCCTGATCCCAGGCCAGATGGCCCCACAGTCCCTCTCCAGGGAGTGTATGTCCCCCTGTCCTGGGGGAGGCCCTGGAAGCCATTCTTTTCTGAGCCAGAGCTGGTTCCTCTTCATGCTGGGTGTCCACTGGGTATTTGGGGTGATAACCCTCCTCTCCCCCATCCCCTCCCGAGGCCCACGGGGCTGTTGCCAGTGCCTGTTTCCCTTTCAGAGAAAGTAAGGAGCTGGCTGACCTGGCCCGTTTGCACCCCACGAGCTGTGCTGCTAACGGCCTGAACCCTAACCTCATGGTGACCGGTGGCCCATCGCTGGCAGGCTCCGGGCGCTGGTCCGCCGACCCCGCAGCCCATCTGGGCACTCATCCCTGGCTGCCCCGCTCGGGTAGCACGTCCATGTGGCTCGCCGGGCACCCCTACGGTGGGTGTGGGATGCGCGGGTTGCCCTTATCTGGTGCTTGAGGATAGAGTGGGCCCCACATGTTCTTGCCTGGAGCCCAGGGCTGGTGCTGGGGCATGACTGTGCGTGGAGGGGAGTTGCTTGTGGGACCCGTGCCCAGAGCAGGCTCCTGTCTTCCTGCGGCCAGGGCCTGGGCCTCGCTTCCTCTCCCTGCACTTGAGCTCCCTCATGAGTCCGAAGAGGGCGGTCACTAAGATACCCACCTTGTGGGGGTCCCTTGCTGAGCCTGTTAGGGGCTGGTGCCCAGGGGTGGGTGGCTGTGGACATGCTTGCAGCCTGTCACCCCTCAGCTTCCTGCCTGGAGGCCCCAGGAGATGGGGGTCTGGGGAGCGGACAGCAAGGGGGTGGGCCTGTCCCCCCGGCTCCTGGCCTTGACTCGGTTCTGGGTCCTCCTAGGCTTGGGCCCACCTCCTCTGCACCAGGGCATGGCGCCTGCCTTCCCGCCTGGCCTGGGGGGCTCCCTGCCATCAGCTTACCAGTTCGTGAGGGACCCCCAGTCGGGCCAGCTGGTGGTCATTCCCAGTGACCACCTGCCTCACTTTGGTAAGTGGTGGCCTTTGGGTGGAGGGCTCTTGGGTAGGAGGCAGACCGGGGCTTCGAGGATGTTCTGATGTCCATGGTTTCCCTGTGTCATAAATCCACAGGCATTTTTATTTTAATATTCTCCTACCCAGAACCAAAGCAGGTTTTCCTTTCTGGGGTCTGCACACTCCCCACTCCCCCCCCACCCCCGGCCCTGTGCTTCCCATCCCTCAGGAGTCTGCTTGGCAGACCACTGGGTGTGGTGGGGAGCAAGGGATTGGAGACCCCCTGTTGGCATGCTCTTGCCTTAAGAGTTCTGGGACATCCCACCTGGGGTGTGGATGGAGTGCCTGGGCCTGGGCCCTGGGCTGGGGAGGTGGGTGCAGAGGGAGGCTCCGGGCCAGCCCTACCCCACCTCCAGAGGGGGCGGCCGGGGGCGCTGGGCGGCGGATGCAGCCTCATTGTGCGTCCTGCCCCTAGCGGAGCTGATGGAACGGGCCGCGGCGCCCCCGCTCTGGGCTGCCCTGTACCCACCAGGCCGCGGCCCCCTGCACCACGCCCAGCAGCTGCAGCTCTTCTCCCAGCAGCGCTTCCTGCGGCAGCAGGAGCTCCTGTACCTGCAGCAGCAGGCGGCCCAGGCCCTGGAACTGCAGAGGAGCGCCCAGCTCGTGGTGAGTGGGTGGGGGGAGGGATGGTGACGGGGTGGGGAGCCCGCCGCAGCCCCCCAGGGATGGAGAGGCAGACGGCTCCACAGGCAGGAACTCAGCAGTTAAGAGCTGTGAGCTGTGAGGGAGAAAAGAGGGCAAAGAGGGCAGGGGCTGGTGGTCAGGGAGGGCCACCTGGAGGAGGAGGAAGCGTTAGCCCACAGACCCGAAGGAGTTGACCATGGACAAGCCCCTCGGGTACAGGGAACAACGTGAGCAAGGCCCAGAGGTGGATGGAGACTGGCAGGGGCAGGGTGCGGGGAGCAGCAGGGAAACTGAGGCAGGAGAGGCAGCCTGCTGGACTGGGGAAGTTTGCATTGGATGCTGTTTTCTGAGCCCAGGCTGACCTCCTCCTTGAGCCCCCCCGGCCGGGCTGCCAGCTCCATGGTCCCGGCTCCCTTCTCAGGCCGGGGCTGGCCTCTGACCACCATGTTGACTGATCGTGAGAGATGGGAGACATGAGGGGTTCCCCACGTGGTGGGGCTCCCAAAAGTCCACAGCCCTCCTGCCTCCTTGCAGGACATCTGTCCTCTGCTTGGCCTGTCCCTTTTCCTTCAGGCAGTGGCCACTCAGGGGAGTCCACCGAGGTGGCCCAGGCAGCAGGCAGGGCAGCGGACAGGGCCAGGGCCCGGGGTGTGACCCTCAGCTCTGGCGTATCTGGCTCTGTGCCCTTGGGTAAATGACTTAACGTCTCCGGGCTTAGGTTTCCTCCTCTGGAAAGTACCAGGAACCCTGCGTCATCAGGATTATCAGTCAGATTTAATAATCAGGAGAGTGGTTGGTGCTGGGAGCATTTCTTCCCAGTATATTTTCTGTGACTGCCTGGCTCCTTGCCCCCCTCACCTCCCCCACGAGCACTGGCTGTCCTTCCATTGCCTCAAAGAGCATCAAATGCAGGAAGAGACCCCCCCACCCCCCACAGGCATTTTGAGACCCAAAGGTGATAAGGCAGGAGCGTACTCAGTAGGTAGTGAGTTCCCCGTGAGGGTAGCTATTCTAATGCCATCAAAGTGTGGGGAGTGGGGGAGCCTCACGCCGCTGCCCTGCCCTCCTTGTCCTGCCTGCAGGTTCCCAGCAGGGCCAGGCTGGAGGCCCCGCCCTTCCTCGCACCAGCCCTGTCTGGGGTTCCACAAGGAACGCTGTGCTTGTTACACGCGAGTCAGGATGGAATGTCCATAGCAGGCCGGGAGGGTGGGCAGCCTGCGCCCTGGACCCCGCTTGAGGGGCCCCCGGGGATGGGGGAGGTGCTGGGTGATGGCTCCTGCTGTGCTCACCCTGCCTGCCGGTCCCCTCCCCAGCAGGAGCGGCTGAAGGCCCAGGAACATCGGGCAGAGATGGAGGAGAAGGTGAGCAAGCGGAATCTGGAGGCCGCAGGCAAGGCTGGCCTGGCCGCCCCGGGCCCTGGGCTGCTGCCTCGGAAGCCCCCCGGCCTGGCTGCTGGCCCCACGGGCACCTACGGCAAGGCCATGAGCCCGCCACCATCTCCCCGCGCTTCCCCTGTGGCTGCCCTGAAGGCCAAGGTCATCCAGAAACTGGAAGATGTGTCCAAGGCACCCACCTATGCCTACCCCGCCACGCCCAGCTCCCACCCCAGCAGCCCGCCGCCCGCCTCCCCGCCGCCCACTCCTGGTATCACCCGCAAGGAGGAGGCGCCTGAGAATGTCGTGGAGAAGAAGGACTTGGAGTTGGAGAAGGAAGCCTCCAGCCCCTTCCAGGCCTTGTTCTCGGGTAGGAGTGAGGCTCAGACCCCCGGGGGCCGCATGCTGCTCGGACTGGAGTGGGCTCGGGTTCTGGCAGAGCTGAATCCCGCCACCGGTCCATTACCCTCCATGTGTCTGGCCCTTCCTTCCTTCCTCTGTCTGCTGGGTGCCTGCCGTGTGCCGGGTCTGCTCCCAGGCTCTGGAATGAACGCATGAGCATGGGGGGCTCGGCCTTTCTCGGGCCCCACTTCGGGAGCACAGTTACGTTCGAACCTACCTTGGGGTGCCTGGGTGGCTCCGTTTGTAAGGTGTCTGACTCTTGATCTCGGAGTCATGAGTTCAGGCCCCATGGTGGGTTCCACAGCGGGCACAGAAGCTGTGGTATAAAAAAACAAAACAAAAAAGCCCAACTGTTTCCGAAGGACTCATTCTGAGGATTAAGCAAAGCTAAGAACTGTAAGGCACACTGTGGCTGGTCCACGGGAGCTGCTGAGTGGGCACAGTGAGAACAGTAGCATGGGGAGTCCCATTCTGGGGGTGCCCCCCATGCTGTGAGCACAGTGCTCTTCCCATCGCGGCCTGGGTCAGTGGGACGTGCAGCGGTGGCCTGAATGGCATGCCTCCTCCCTGGTGGCCCTTATGAGTGTGAGAGCGTGGCTGGGAGGATGTGAGTTCCAGTTCAGATTCTGCCACCAGAATGCTGTGTGACCTTGGAGCAGGTGGCTGCCCCTCTCTGGGGAGATTTGATACCATGCTCCTGTCTGGCACGGAGTACGTGCCTGGGCCCCAGGAAGTGCTGTGTGCACCCATCTCCCCCTGGTCAGCCCAGGGAGCACTGTGGAGATCCGCCCGCAGACTGTCCTGCTCTTGGAGAGGATGCTCCGAGGTGGAGAGGGTAGAGTGGGAAAGTCGGGGGGAGGGCAACACTGTATTACTGTTACTTCTTGAACAACCTGGATGCCCCAGCTCTGCTCTAACGGGATGGGGTGGGAATGGTGGACTGGAGATGCCCTGGGTGGGTGAGGACCGTGGGTGGTCTACTGAGTGTTTGCTTCTGGGCTAGCCTCATGTTGGGTGCTGTGGGGTTAGGGCTGGGGAGAGAAAGCAAGCCGATGATGATTTCTGCTTCTGAGACCTGAAGCCCCTCGGGGACAGGATGGTGGCTGACTTTTCTCTCTCTGGTCTGGACATGCCAATGTCCCCACATGCTGCCAGTAAGAGGTCACAGTTCCGTAGGCTGGCCGGGACAGGCGGGTGGCCACAGGGTCTCTGTCTTGGCTGGTGGGTGGATGTGCATGAGGACATGGGGGATGTCAGATGGACAGGTTAGGGGGCCGCTGCTGACTCTCCATGTCCTCGGCAGATATCCCACCCAGGTACCCGTTTCAAACCCTGCCGCCACACTACGGGAGGCCCTACCCATTCCTGCTGCAGCCCACAGCGGCCTCCGACGCCGACGGCCGGGCCCCCGATGTGCCGCTCCCAGCCGATGGGCCCGAGCGCCTGGCGCTGTCTCCTGAAGACAAGCCTATCCGCTTGTCCCCCTCCAAGATCCCAGAGCCTCTCCGCGAGGGCCCCGACGAAGAGCCGCTGGTAGAACGGGAGGTGAAGGCCGAGGTGGAGGACATGGACGATGGCCCTGCAGAGGTGCCCTCCTTGGAGTCTCCCCTGACATTGGCCCCTGAGGAAGCCCTGGCAGCCCCAAGCCCCGTGGCTGGCTGTGGAGGCGGTCTGCTGGAGGCCCAGGCGCTGAGCGCCAGCGGGCAGGGGGGCATGGAGCCCCCCGGGGGCCCAGACTTCGTGGAGGGGGCCGAAGCGCGGGTCGATTCCCCAGGCCGGACAGAACCGTGCACAGCCGCCCCGGACCTGGGGGTGCGACTGACGCCAGAGACACTGGTTGAGGCCAAGGAGGAGCCCGTGGAGGTGCCTGTCGATATGCCCATGGCCGTGTCCATGGCAGAGGCGGTGCCTGAGGAGGGCCTAGCACAGGCAGCCCCGAGCGAGCCCCGGCCTAGCCTGGAGTTGGCAGATGGTGACGTGCCCGCCGGGGAGGGGGAGTGCCTGAGTCTGGAGGCCAGGGAGGCCACACCTGTGCCCAGCGGCTCCTGCTTCCTGGAGGAGGAAGGCTCTGACCAGTTTCTGCCCGGCCTGGAGGACCCACTGGCTGGTATGAACGCTCTGGCAGCGGCTGCGGAACTGCCCCAGGCCAGGCCTCTGCCCTCCCCGGGCCCCGGCACCCAGGCCCTGGAGAAGCTGGAGGCGGCACAGAGCCTGGTCCTGGAGCAGAGTTTCTTGCACGGGATCACCCTGCTGAGCGAGATCGCCGAGCTGGAGCTGGAGAAGAGGAGCCAGGAGGTGGGAGGTGAGCCGCAAGGGATGCTTGGTTTCTAGGGCATTTTTTTTTTTTTTTTTACATTTTTACTTTTGTAAGAATTTAAAGATTTTGAAAATCCTCAGGAGATGGCTTATTTGTGTCCGTTTTTATTTTTTTAAGTGGGGGCAAAATCCACATAATGAAATTGACCATTTCAGTTGGTTACAGGTCAGTAGTATTCCGAGCGCCTTCATGTTACTGTGCAGCTGGGTCTACGGGTTTCTTAGTGATGACGTTTCTCCTTGTTCCGTCAGTGCTGGATTTTGTACTGGCACCATTCTTGGTGTTGCAGGGGACAGGAACTCTCCTTTGAACTTAGAAAACGGTGGGGGAAATTGATTGGCTCTTGGAACCTAAGTATATAGTGGCAATTAGTAAGTTTCAGGTATGGCTGGATCTAGGCGTTTCAAGTCATCAGGAGTTTCTTTCCCTATATACCCTTTCCCATCTCTCTCTCCAGCTGCTCCATTTTCCTCTCTGTTGGCCTCATTCACAGCAGGCCCACTGCCCCCATGGGGGTCACCAGCACTTCCTTGCAGGCCTACAGGCCTACGCGATTCAGCAGACTCTAAAAAGAGGCCACCGCTTTCTTGGGTACCTCTGGCAAATGTACTTTGATTCATTCTCATTGGCTCTCTGGGGTTCATGCTCTCTGCAGAAGCAAACTGTGGCCAGGGAGATGGGAAGGAACAGGCTGATTGTTCACTGCCCCTCACAGGGCTCTCCCTTCTGGAGGGCAGGGTAGGGTAGCCCTCAGAAGGAAACAGGTACTATCAGCAGAAGGGCAGTGAATTCTGGGCCAGGCACAAACCCACTGGTGTTCAACACAGAAACTCAGGGCGTTCCAAGAAATGTGTGCAGAAGGAGCTGTGGGCCAGGCGAGCCTCACCACCCCACGCTCGGCCCAGAACTGGCATGAAGGAGGGAAGGGCCCAGGCAACAGCTGTCAGGGTGGTAATGTGTTGCTAGTGTTTTGGTGCATTTTTTCTAGAACTTTTTCTGTACACACACCACTTCTAAAATTAAGATCATTTTGTAAACAATGTTCTGTGAGCCGCCCTTTTCACTTAGCGTATCTCTATGAAATATTTTTCAGAGCTGTGTGTCTTGAAACATTTTTTTAGGAACAGTCAAGTTTTCTAGCTCGTGGAGGGCCTAGCCTTCAGTAATCTAGTCCTAGATGGTACTGCCCTTTGTTTTGTTTTGTTTTGCTGTTGTAAGTAATATGATGATTATGCCTGAAGAAAAATCCTTGGCCATCCCCCTGATTTTCCTGGGGGGTCTGTTCCCAGGGGTGGAATTGCTAGGTCAGAACCAAGGCCACATTTTCAAGGCCTGTTCATTGCCATGGTCCTGTGGCCCCCTGGAAGCCTGGACAGGTGCCGCCCACTCCCCCACAGGGGTCTGTTGTTGGGTTCTTGTTGTCGAAAAGTTCATGACTTCTTTTCTCTTGTTTAAATAGTTTCGTACAAAAAATTATTTTTCAGAAGAAAATGAAAATCCTCTGGAGTCCTGCCAACAGGTGCTGGGTTTTCAGTGGGGGCCGCAGAGGGCCCAGCTGGGAAGGAGGGGCTGAAGATGGGTTGCCTTGTTTGGGGACTGCTGCCCACCGTTGCTCCTTTGCACGCCCCTGCCTCATTTTCTGTTTGGGAGTCCTGCTTGCCCTCATTTAACTGTGTGCCGGCACGGATTTTGGACAAGGCTGTCCACGTGCAGCCCTTGACACTGTTGGGTGGTGACAGGCAGTAATAGGTGGACACAGTGGGAAGGGGACAGGGTGGAAGCGGAAGGCCAGGGATCCTTTTCTTGATAAAGTGACCTGAGGAAGGTCAGGGAGGAACTCTTCTGGGGGAAACATTCCAGGCTGACAGAACAGTAGGTGCAAAGGCCCTGAGGTGAGTGGTGGGTGTGGCTCTGTGTGTGACATGTTGGAACAGGAGCCAGGAGTGGAAGGAGGAGTAGTGGTGGCCACAAGGAGCTTGGCGGGTAGGGCAGGGGGTAGGTCCCTGGGCACTCCTGGAAGAGGGTTTGGAGTTGCAGTGATGGGATCAGACTTCAGTAGGGTCATTTTGGGGGCTGTGTGCATAACTGATGCCAAGACGGGGTGGATGCAGGGAGACCCAGGAGGATGCTCCAGACCCTGGGGGTGGGCGGGGCAGGTGGAGGCGAGGAGTGGGAGGATTCTGAGTGGAAGTTAAGGTGCAGCCAGTGGGCTTTTGCCAGGCTCTGGGTGGGTATAAGAGCAAGTCCAAGGTTCCTGGCCTGACCTGTGGAAGAGCACTTTCCAGGAGGTGGGGGATGGGGGACTGGGGGGGGGGGGATGACTTTGTGACCTGCAGGTGGTTTCTGCTGAGGAGGTGTGGTCCAGGGCTGGCTGGGTGGCCCTGGGCTGGATCTATGGCCCTGGGCTGGCTAGTGCACTTGGGAGGTGCCGGTGTGTAGGGGTTGTGTGTGCTGAAGGTTCTGGTAGCCCTTTTCTCTTCCCAGCAGCTGATGACAGGATACAGAGCATCAGTCCTCCACAAAAGGCCCCAGGTGGTGCTTAGAGCTGCCCCATGGCCATGGGTCACATCGTGCTGGTACCTCCACAAGGCTGGTGTGTTGGTTAGCTGGGGCTGCTGTCACAGACACCACAGACTGCGGGACTCAGATATCAGAAACGTGTTGTCTCCTTGTTGGGTGAGGGGGCGGAAGTTCTAGACCGGGGGTGAGCAGGGCTGGGTCCTGTGGAGGCCTCTCCTGTGTCCTTGCATGGTTGCCCCTTTGTGCCTGTGTCCAGAGTTTCCTTTCCCATAGGGACACAGTCCTCCTGGATTAGGGTTCCTCTAGTAACTTGACTTTAACTTGATTTCCTCTTTAGAGGCTCTCAAAATAAGGTCACTTTCTGAGGTCCCTGGGTCAGGACTTCGGTGTGTGGATTTGGCAGGGGACACAGTTCATCCCGTAGCAGCTGGCCTAGGGTCATCCCGGCTGCCGTGGGCTGTCAGTCGTGAGAGCCCCAGCAGGACTGGTTTGGAGGGCGAAGGAGGAGACAAAGGTGCACCTTGGTCCCCTCCTCTGTAACGGGGTGGCCCTCTCTTGCCTTACCCAGCAGCTAAGACTCTGATGGCTCGGAAGACCTTGTGACCCCGCACCAGCTCCCCTTGTGAGCTGATGGGGTTCACTGAGTTGCTGCCTCAGTTTCTGCAAGGATACGGAAGAGCAGAACCCCCGGCTCTTAGTCGGTGGTGACATGCCTGGTTGTCACTGCTCGGGGGAGTACTGCTGACATCTAGTGGGTGAAGGTAGGAGATGCCCCTGCAGCGCCTGTAGCGCATGCCCAGGACAGCCACCCTGGGGGGGCCGAGGAGGAGCTGAGCCAACTTGGATGGTGCCAAGGTCGAGAAGCCCTAAGCCATGCGAGAAAAGTCACTGATGTTGATTTTATGGAACTATACGCATCGGTAGTAAAGAATATACTTTTTTCTTTGGTACACATGAAAAACTAGCACCTCAGGTACACTCAAAAAAACCGATCACACATTAGATCACCGAGAAAACACAAGTTTAAAAACAAAACAAAACAAAACAAAAACTCCTTTAACTTTGGGAGAGACTGGAGGGGAGATGACCTCCCATGAGCCGCTGCTGAGATGCTGGGTTGGTGCACCCTTTCTGGAGGGTGGCTGGAATATTTGTCAGTACGTACTGACAAATTTACATACCTCGATTATGTTACACAGATGGGAATTCTTCTAGAACACGCGTGTCCTGACTGTGTGCCTATCCACCCACTACCAAAAAAAAATTTAGAAATGACCAAAATGTCCTTTTATTAGTAGAGGGTTATTTATTTAGATTGATTAAGTCTCCGCAGTGCCAGAGAATTTTAGGCACTGTTACTGGGTCTGGCCATGTAGCGTTGCTGTTACGCTGGTGTTTTTGATCTGTAGAGGTTTCAGTGTTACAAGGTTCAGGCTCATAACGTGGTAGATGTTCGTCTTGTGCTGCAAAGAGAGGTGAGGTGTTCTTCCATATGTGTGGATTGGTGCCATTTCTGTGTTTATAAAGGATGCCCACGGACATCGCTTGTGTTCGAATACGGGCACATGTTTCTGGGGTCTTCTACCAGAACGTCTGCTGTGGCACTTGCGGTGGCAGGGGCAACTCTGTTGGGGAGGGGAAGGTGTTCTTTCTTCACCCCTTTCTGCCAGGTTTGCGTTTTTTGTGTTCTCATATTACTTCTACAGTTTATAAAACTTAACTCAGGCTCCTTTTTTTCTGGAAGTGAAAAGTGTGCATATTCCTCATGGAAAATGTAAAGGGCAGATAAGCAGAAAGAGGCGCACTCTAGAAAGTACCTCTGTCGGCACTTGGCTATTCGGCTACTTTGTGTAGCAGTGGACATTTGGAACAGGGTCATGCTGTGTGCCCTGACTCTCGCTCGTTCTCATTTAGCACCATGCACCATTTCTTGCTTCTCGGAAAGGCTGCGGTGTAGTCAGCATCTTGGGGGCCACCATGTGGCCTTAGGCAAGCCCTGAGCTGGTCCTGGGCCTCATTCTCCTCCCTCTTTGGGGTCGGGCTGGCTGCCGTGTCCAGGAATCCTGCCCCCAGGGCAGGCATAGAAGTATGGGCTCACCTGCCTCCCATGTGCAGGTGCGGAGCGGGGCCCAGCGGTGCGGCCCTCGCTGGAGAGCCTGCTGGCAGCCAGCAGCCACATGCTGAAGGAGGTGTTGGACAGCCCCTTCGTGGACCCACTCAAGAACCTGCGGCTTCCGCGGGAGCTGAACCCCAACAAGAAGTACAGCTGGATGCAAAAGAAGGAGGAACGGGTGAGGTGTTCCGGGCCTGTTTTTGCCTGCCTGTGGGCTCTGGGGTGGGTCCCCCAGAGATGCCATCTTGCTGGGGACATGGCTGGCTTTGGAGTTGGAAGGTCTTGATCTGAGTCCATCTTCCGCCACTGACTTGCTGTGCAGTCCTGGGTGAACTCTTTTCCTTTTCTGGGTCTCAGTTTAGCCGTGGGACAATGGGCGACAGCCTGATGGGTCGGGAAGAGCAGGCCTGGCTGTGCCCCTCTCTGCCTGTGGGCCCCGGGCAAGCACCTCACGTTTCTGAACCTCCATCTATAAGTGACGTGTAACATGATGGGCCACGCTGCTTAAGCAGCTGTCCTGGGCCACACAGCCTTTGCTCAGCCCTTCGGACTTGGGTTTTGATCCCTGTTCTGCGTTCTGCCCACGGCCTTGGCTAATAAGTGGCAGAGATGGGGTTCGAGCTGGGGCCCCATCACCATCAAGCCTCACCTCTCCTGTGGGTGGTGGGAGCTGGTGGGTGTCGGCGTCCTCACCCCGCTCTCCCTGCAGATGTATGCCATGAAGTCGTCCTTGGAAAGCATGGACGCCATGGAGCTGGACTTCCGGATGCGGCTGGCCGAGGTCCAGCGGCGGTACAAGGAGAAGCAGCGAGAGCTGGTGAAGCTGCAGAGACGCCGCGACCCCGAGTGAGTGTGCCCCCAGGTGCATCCCGCGGCCCCGGCCGGCCCAGTGACAAGGCCACAGCAGGCGGCGCCCTGCTTGGGCTCTCATAGGCGTTGGCGCTCAGTAGGTTGGCTGTGGTAGGCCATTAGAGGTGTGTGTGGACCCGAGTGACGTGTGCGTATCGTGTGTCCTCCTCCGCGCCCCCTCTACCCCCCCAGGTTCACAGCCAAGCGTGTGATTCTTTTTAAGGGACAGGCGCGAGGAACCCCATAGAAGCTTGGCACGCAGAGGCCCTGGCAGGCCGAGGAAACGGACCCACGCCCTGAGCGCCCTGTCGCCCCCCCGCAAGAGAGGGAAGAGCCGCAACAGTAGCGGAAAGTAAGGCTGGCCCCTCGGTGGGTCGGGAACTGGCACAGAGCTCGGAGGGGAGGAGCACGGGCCCGCATAGGGCCTGCGTCTGGGCACCGGGGACCTCGAGTCCCTCGGACTCTGACCCGCCTGGTTGGTAGCTCTCAGGAAGCACAGTGTGCGCTGCCCGGGCCAGGAGGGTGAGCCAGGCGAGTGGCGAATGGACAGGCAGACTCATCCCCCCAGCACTGAATGGCAGATGAGCCCAGGGAGAGAGGTGTCCGTGCCGTCAGCCAAGCGCTTCCCCCACCTTCCTGCCACACCTGCTTCCTCCACGGTTAGGGACGAATTCCTGCCCTTCTCCACGTACCTCCTCCCTACAGAGGGCTTCGCTGAACTTTCAGCCCCGCCAGGACGGGCTCTGACTTGTGCTGTCACTTGGTTCCCTGTGTGACTGACAATGTCATTCCTGTCCTCCTGGCTTGTTGCACCTGAGCCTGTGACCCAGGGGTGCTCCTTTGTGTGTTCCTTGAGTGGCAGCAGAAGCTGCGTGTGGCACCTCTGGAGGTTTTCTTGAATGGTGGCTGGAATGAGAGCTCTTCCTCCGGGCTGGGCACGGGTAGGAGTGATGCTGCGATCTTCTGGGTGTCGGGAGTAGCATGAGCCGAATGAGGCCCATCAGAGCAGCGGGGTTGGAGTGCACCTTGGCCTGGGTTTTTGGGGCAGGGCAGACACTAGGCAGCCTGGTGCTTGGCTTGAGGAAGCAGAGGGGGCCGCAGGGTGGCTTCTGAAGGCACAGGAGAGGCAGTGGGTTGGCCACAGGTCTTGTCAGAAGACCTCCCCAAGGGCCCCCACGAATTGCATTTATCCTTCTTGGATGTTCCTGTTGGAGGAGAGGATGGAGACTGGAAGAAATTCCCTACAGCCGGCCAAAGGAGGGTAGGGAAGCAGTTCCTGAAGACAGCAGAGGTTGGGGTCGCCAGCAGGCAGCCCCTGCATCGGAGTACAGCCCCCCGAGATGGACACGCTTTCCTGCTTTTTCGTCCCAGCTGCATCCAGTGTTTATTGTGACCTTGGGCTCTGTGCTAGCTTTTTGGAGCCCGTTTCCCCCTGTGTAAAAAAACCAGCATGTAGAACATTGTTGTGGTTGGAGTATAAAGCCCTGGCATGGGAAAAAGCACATAGTAAGCACCAAGTAAATATTAGTTGCTCTTATGACTCATGAGGGTTTAGCTTAAAGTAGGTAAGAGAAGCCTTCAACCTGGGACCATATTCTTGACTGCGTTAATCCCAGGGTTGCAGGAGACCAGCCGGAGACCCTTAATCCCCCTCCCGTTCTGGGAGTTCTTTGACATTTCTGATCCTTGTTCTTGGCACGTTTTGATAAGGGGTGTGTGTGTGTGTGTGTGCGCGTGCGTGCGTGCGTGCGCGAGCGAGCATATGTATGAAGAAGCACAAGCGAGAAAGAGGCCAGCAGAGGATACTGCCGTGGAGAAGTGTTTCTTCTTTCCTGTTAAACTCTCATTCTGCCCCATTCACAAATAGAATCCCAGGACCATAGCTTTGCAGGATCTGTTTCCCCAGATTCGTCACTCTGCCATCACTGTCTGTGCTTCGACATCCGGAGCCCAGCCTTCAGGGCCGTGAGGGCGGACCCCCCCCCCCCCCCCCCCCTTGAGTCTTTCCTGGCCAGGGTGTTGACCAGCTGTGCATCTGGGTTTCAGGCTGAGCAGCAAGCCTCTGCTGACGTCGGAGGAGTACGAGCTTGGAGCAGGCATGAGGAAGAGGCACAAGGGACCTGAGGAGGAACATGATGGCCTTGTTGCCACGGGGAAAGCGAGGGGCAGGAGCCAGCCTTGGGATGAGCACGAATCCTCATCAGACTTCATGAGTCAGGTCAGTAAGCTGCCATCCTAGGGTAGAAGGTCTGGAAGGTGTGCCAGAGTTCACACTCCCTCTACAGGTCTGTTGATCATCCTAGTCCTGCACAGAAACTGTAGAAATAATTGCTTTAGTACCGGAGGGACTGTCCTCCAGTCTTACTGGGCTGGGGGGTGGGGTGGGGCATGGATCAAGGCCCAGAGGAAGTCAGAAACTTAGAAGTAGCACAGTCTCAGGTAGAGCTGGGACTGAGAGACACACCCCCTGTGTGTGCTCCATGACCCTTTGTTGAAGCCACAAAGAGAGGCTGCAAGTTCTTAACCAAATAATGCAATTACTGTTGTTTAACAGTGTAATTGTCTAATGAGCAGCTTCACCGTTCTGTAGTTCTGAGAAACAAGGGCTTGATGCCATTGTAATTTCCTTGTGAACTCTCCGGGGGTAATGGAGTGAGAGCCAACTCCTTGATTTTTCTTATTTCTGCAGAGCATTGAAATCGTCCACTTAAGGCCCGTATCTCTAAATACTAATGTACCTTGTCATCCCTCCTCATAAAGCTCCACAGAAGGGAACTCTTTCCGTTGATTTGGCCATCAGAGGGAAATACATAAGGGAGACTGGATCCAGGAGGAGTTAACAGAGCCAGTCTGTATGTTAGGATCCTTTATTTGCAAATCGTGAGGGATGCTTCTTGGCTGTTCAAATGACCCTATCCCTCCTTTCTCGCCCGTATGATATGTTACCTGACTAAAGAAAATACGGCTAAAATGTTCAAACAAGGGGCGTTAATGGCTTTGAAACTGCACATTTCCTTTAGATAGCAAACGACTACAGCAGACAGGGCAACCAGGAATTTAATCTGAGATCTCCAATCGCTGTTTACTGCTTTGGGCATCCAAGGCACACCCGAGGCATTCTCTTGGCAGCTCCCGCCCCGTCACTTGGATGGGCCAGTTTAGGATGTGTTGCAGTCTTCCTGGGCTGCTTCAGGTGGTCCAGTTAAATGGATCAACCATGCTAGGATTTGAGGTTTCTATCTTGGTTGCATGCCTCCCCCTCCCCCTCCCTCGCCTCCTGGCGCATCAGCAGGGCCGCTTGCTTGAAGGGCTTCCCTAGGAGGCATGAGAGCGTTGGGGAGAGCCAGTGGCAGTGCCACCATTAGCGATCGCTGCACCCACGGTAACAGCACTGTGATGAGAGCTTCACGGGCCTCATCTCAGTTCACCTTCACGACAACCCCAAGAGGCCTGCCTGTAATTCTCATTTTCCGGATCGGGGAGAAGAGAGGCTCAGAGGGGTTGAGCAACTTGCTGGAAGCCACGGAGGCAAGGAGAAGGGACCGGAGCCCCGCTCCGTCAGAGCCCGTGCGCTGAAGCCCGCTCTCGTCTTTTCGCCAAACGTCTTAACGCGTGACTTCCCGACTTCCCTCTACAGCTGAAGATTAAAAAGAAAAAGATGGCCAGTGACCAGGAGCAGCTGGCCAGCAAGCTGGACAAGGCCCTGTCGCTCACGAAGCAGGACAAGCTCAAGTCGCCCTTCAAGTTCTCGGACAGCTCTGGGGGCAAGTCCAAAGCGAGCGGGGGCTGCGGCAGGTACTTGACGCCCTACGACAGCCTGCTGGGCAAGGACAGGAAGGCGCTGGCCAAAGGCCTCAGTCTGTCCCTCAAAGCCTCCAGAGAAGGTAAACACAAAAGGGCCGCCAAAGCCAGGAAGATGGAGGTGGGCTTCAAGGCCAGAGGCCAGCCCAAGTCGGCCCACTCCCCGTTCGCCTCGGAAGTGAGCAGCTACTCCTACAGTAAGTAGTGGACGCCGCGCCACCTCGGGCCGCTTCCTCTCTCTCCTCAGTCTCCTCTGTCTCTCTCATGGGCGCTCGAAGGTGTCTTCTGCTTCTGCGTGGGCTCCAGGCCGGAAGTGTGGTGGGGTGCTGGGCGGGGGGCGGGGGGGAGGCGGAGGGTACGGAAAGCGGAAGTGCCTGTGATTGGTGGGTGGGAGGGGAAGTCCGCCAGCTTGTGGCAGTCCTTCGCGCCTTTGCGGGAGAACAGTCCGTGCGGAGGCCTTTGCGCCACAGAGTCAGCGGCTACTCAGCCTAGAGCGGCCGTTTGCGACGACCGACCGTAGAGCAGAGCCTACCTCCTCTGCCCACAGGCGGCTCTTAGTCCCCTGGCCGGGTATTCGGAGGAACTGCGTCTGTTCGCAGAGCGCACGCCGTGCCAGGAGGTGCTGGGCAGCGCACTGAGGGCTCTGTGGGCCTTGTTGGCATCTGTGTTTCCCACAGCACTCCAGGTGGCTGCCCTACGTTGTGCCCGGGGGTGGACCGCCCGGGTCGGGAGCGTCGAACCGGGAAGCGCACCTGCTGCTGGATTGAGGGGGCTTCTCGTCCTCTCACTGGCCGGGGCCTGCTGCATGGGAGCTCCTTCCCTGGGCTCTCGGGAATGCGGCTTTCCTGAGCCGCGGTCCCCAGACTTGGGCCTGGGGCCTCCTCTAGTGGCGGGTAGTAGGTGCTCCTGGGTGTGCTTGCGCGCCTGCGCAATGGTTGGCCTTTCACGGCCTTCGGTGGTGGTGCATAGTAGGTGCGCCTGGGTGTGCGTGCACGCGGGCAGATGGCTGGCCCTTCACAGCCTTCAGTGGCATGTAGTAGGTGCTCTGTGTGTGCGCGTGCGCACGCCCGGGCAGATGGCTGGCCGTTCATGGCCTTAGGTGGTGCGTAGTAGGTGCGCCTGGGTGTGTGTGTACGTGTGTGTCTGGGCAGATGGCTGGCCCTTCATGACCTTTGGTGACATGTAGTAGGTGCTCCTGGATGTGTGTGTGCGTGTGTGCCTGGGCAGAAGGCTGGCCCTTCACGGCCTTCAGTGGTGTGTAGTAGGTGCTTCTGGGTGTGTGTGTGTGTGTGTGTGTGTGTGCGCGCGCGCGTGCGGGCGGGCGTGTGCACAGGCAGATAGCTGGCCCTTCACAGCCTTTGGTGGCACGTAATAGGTGCTCCCGGGTCTGTGTGCAGTCTCTGGTGGCTCTGGGACGCTGTATGGCAGATAGTAGGTGCTGTGTGTGCAGATGGCTGGTCTTCCATGGGCCTATGGTGGTGGGTAGTAGGTGCTCCTTGGTGTGTGTGTGAGTGGAGCCCCAAATGCCCAGAACCCAGGCGCACAAGCCAGTGGCTGCTACAGAAAGGCCTGGAGGGGCTTCACATGCACCTCCCAGCAGTCCTCAGCAGGGTCTGTTGCGGGAGTCCCCATGCCCTGACTCAGGTGGAGGGCTTTTTTGTTTGGTCTGCCTGGGTGTGGGTATCTGGGCTTTTGATTGGCTGCACTTGGTATATAGGAAGAGTGGTTGAATGTCAAGTGCAGGAAGGTAGACACCTGTAATGCTATTAAAGTTTGTTTTCTTGAGGAAAGGAAATAAAGTGTTTATGGACTTGGAGTTAAATTATTGTTGCCCTCACAGGGCTGTTGTGAGCTCTAGTGAGTTCATGTTGGTAAAAGCTGGCTATGGCATAAGTTTAAGCTGCTGCTGTTGTTCGTGTCTTTTTTTGTTTTTTTGTTATTTTTTTTCTTTTAACATTTGTAGTTTGGTTACTCAGGACTAATGGGTCTCTAGGGCTGATGTAGAGACAAATATGTGAGGTAAACAGCTCCTTTGTGCCTTATATGTTGAGGACATGCTTGATTGCCATTGCTTTTGTGGCCCTCAACTTTGGTATGATATGACCAGGTCCATGGCTACCGAGCTCATCTCAGAACTCATAGCCCCAGAGGAGAAGGAAAGAAGGACTCTCTGATATTTCCATCTCTGGGTTTTAGAATGTTGGAGGGAATGGGGAGTTGCTCTCTTGACTGCAAGAAGCATCCTGTCTTTGTACATCTGGAGGCCAGAGATGAGCTCAGTTCCTGAGGTCTTTGGCGTGCTCTGAGCTAGTGAGTCCCCTGTGTGCAAATGTTTGCACGCACAAAGCCATATTCAGATTGCTTGTCTGTTACACTGGGCGTCGAAAATTCCACTGTCCAGGTGAGGGAAGGGACTTAAAGTTGCAGCAGAGTGATCAGATCTGTGTCCAACTAGATGCTAGCTATAGTAGGTAGCTGGCTCTGAAGAGAGTTCCTCGTTTGTTTGTTTAAGTAAGCTGCATGCCCAGTGCAGAGCCCAAGGTGGGGCTCGATCTCGTGACCCTGAGATCAAGACCCGAGCTGAGATCAAGAGTCGGCTGCTTAACCAGCTAAGCCACTCAGGCATCCCTCGTTTGTATTTTTCACGTAGGCTTTTCTGTAGGTAGATGAGAGGACGCAGTCAGAAAGAAGCCAAGAGTGTTTTCTGGCACAAAGATGGATGGCAGGACACAGGAAGAGAGAAAACTGCTTTGTTTTTCAACATTGGGTTGTTGGGGTTGGGGGACATGCCTGGTGGGAAGCCAGTTCGCTCGTCATCACCCACGGTGTTTCCAGCCTGGGATGTGGGCTTGGAAAGGATGGACAGGCCTGATGGGGCTTGTCTGTGTTAACTCCCTGCCTAGAGTTTTGAGGCCATCCTGGAGTTGGGTCTTGGTTGGAGTGGAAAGCATAGGTAGGTACAGGCGGAGGCAGCCAGAGGACGGACACTGCCTCTGCCTCTGCCTCACTCCCGCACCTGACACGTGCACATTCCCGTGTAGTTTCTTGTGGGCCTGGAGATGGCAGGTGCTGCCAGAGCTTAGCTCTGTTCGTTACTGTTCCTCGTGTTCAGAGTGGATTTTATCAGATCATGGGATTACAGTCTTTGGCTGTGGAGCCGTTTTTTCCAATGAAACCTTGCTGGACAGCCCAGCCCCATTTATAAAATGGATCAAAATGGCATGAGGACGTTTGGGTTGGGGTTGGAAGGGGCCAGAGCTGTGCCCGCTTGATGGTCTGCCTTCTCTAAGGCTGGGTGATCCTCTCCCAGGAACGTTTAGGAACCCTGGCCTTCCCGCCCTGTGCAGGAAGGCGGGAGACTTGGGGGAAGCCAGCAGCTGTGTGCTGGTAATGACGCCCTTTGATAGGAAGCCTTGAGTTGGAACATCACTTGCCAGTTTCCTTGGTGTGACTGCGTTCGATGGCCATTGCGATGCTGCTGGGCGGGGAGTTGGGGCGAGCGTGTGTGTGGTTGCTCCCCAGTCTGCCTGCGCCGCCCAGCACGCCACCGCAAACTGCTCTTCTGGGGTAGAAGAGCTTTACCCGAGCCCTTCTTTTCTTGCGTCTTGTCTCTCCCTAAAAGGAGCCGTGGGCTGGGTTCATGGCCCTGGCTCAGGCCTTCCTGAGAGTAGGGCTCTTGCCTCCCCCGGGGCCCGGAAAGGCTGTTGGCAGAGGTGGCTGCGTGGCGGGTCTGGAAAGGACGAGCTCTGTGAGGCCTGTGGCCCGGGGGCCTCCCAGGCGAGAGTTGAGAGTTCCAGGCCAGGGAGAAGAGGTCTAGGCGGTGGGACATGGCCTGTTGCACGGCTGGTAGGCACTCGGACCTGGCACTCACCAGGGCGTTCTCAGAGCCACCGAGAGTGACGAGGGACACCAGCCCCTCCATCCCCTCCCAGCGCTCCATGACTTACTTTATTAAAAACTACTTTGACTGCAGATACGGACTCAGAGGAAGACGAAGAATTCCTGAAGGACGAGTGGTCTGCCCAAGGCCCGTCCAGCTCCAAACTGACGTCTTCCATCCTGTGTGGCATGGTGGCAAAGAACAAGCCCCCCGGAGGCCCCAAGCTGACCAAGAGGGGTCTGGCGGCCGCCCGGACTCTGAAACCCAAGCCGGCCGCCGGCAGGAAGCAGCCCTTTTGTTTGCTGCTTCAAGAGGTCGAGGCCCGTTCCTCCTTCAGCGATTCCTCGGAGGACTCGTTTGACCAAGGTTACTAGCTCCAAACACAAAGTACCTTCCGTGTTTTCTAGCGAGAGAGTGAGTGAGAGAGAGCGCGAGAGAGCGAGCGCGAGCGAGCGAGCGCGCAGGAGATGGCAGGAGATGGCGGGCAGAGGTGGCCCACCTGGGACGCCTCGGGAAGGGCGGCCATCTTGGTTCTTGGCAGCGTAGCCTGCTGTATCCGCCCGAGTCCTTCTATTTTTGTTCTTATTTGTACCTGTATCGTTGCGATAACGCCTCGGCCTGGCTCTTTTTGAGCCTTTATACGGACTGTTTTTAGTCTCCCCCTCCTCCGCGCTCCCCCTCTGCCCCCCTCCTCGCCTCCTCTGCCCCCCTAGACCGCAGGCCTGGGTCGGGTTCTCTCGGAGGCCTCCCGGAGGGACATTTTGTAAATGGAATTCTGTCGTGTGGGCGTGTGACTTGATGTTTGTACCGCGATTTTTGGTAATACCAAGCTTTATTAAACATACCGAGTTCATTTTTAACTAAACCCGTGTGCCTTGTCTCTCTTGCTGTGTCCTTACTAGACCATTAGGTTGCCGCTCCCCTCATTCGTTCCTCCTTCCCCTCCCCCTGCCTCCCCCACCCCTACCTCCCCCAAGGGCTAGAGCTGGAAGAGGCGGTCTGCCACTCTTCTCTGTTACTCAAATATCCCTGGTAGCTGTTGGCATGCGTTCATTTCTCAGGCTTAAAGTCCGCTGTGCTCACCTCCAGCTTCATCTTTTGTTTTTGTTTTGTTTTGTTTTTTAGCTGCCTGTTTGTTTTTTTATTTTCTTAAAGCTCTATTTCTGTGTAACAGCGGTTTAAAAATATAAACACTTGTTTTCTAACACGTATTTCTGTTTTAAAGGGCGTGTAGGCAGTGCAGGGTCAAGACCATTTGCCGCCCCGAGTTTTGTTGTGAGATTTGAAAGCGTGGGCTTCACTGCCACGTTGAGCGGTGGGGGGGCCCCGGGCTTCGGAGAGAGCACTGGCCTCTGAGCCCACAGGCCTGGTCAGCTGGCAGCCCCCTCACCCCGATCTGCCTCACCTGTTGGGAGAGGGTGGGATTCTGTGATCCCTGAGGACATCCTGGTTCTGACCTTCTTGGGTTAGAAGCGTCCCAGGGACAAGTAGGGGGAGCCAGGGGATCCTTAAGTATTTCCTCACCCTGGTTTAGGGATTTGCTTCTGGGTGGAGCCCCTTCAGGGATTCCCAGAGTCTAGACCCCATGCCCCCTGGGGTGGGGCCCAGGCATGCAGAGGCCCACCTGGATGGGAACTGGCTCAGGCCCTGGGACCAGAGGCTACCCTGACTCCAGCCGTGCTCCCGTTCCTGGTCTGCCGTCTCCCTGCCCGCACCTTCCATCCTGACTTGCCGAGGTCCATTTTGGGTGACCAGGACATGGCACAGCAGAGAGCCAGGTGCCCTTGGGACCCATGTTCTCTTGGGCTGCTGCCACGGCTGAGTGAATGGAGTTTGAGCCGAGGAAGTGGGGAATTCACTAACTTACCAGTCAGCCTCCTTTGCCCCTAGTCCTGGCCTCTGGACCAGTCTGGCTGGTTCACCATTCTCTTTCCTCTCTCCCTGACCCGCTCCTCTCCCCTCTTGGCTCCTCCCCTTTAAAGCCAGAGTTCCAGCTTCTGTGAGTTGAAGCTGTCCTGCCTCAGCCCTGACCCCATAGAGAAGCAGGCAGCCCCTTCAGATGTCTTGGCACAGGGCCGTTGCCCAGAGTGGGCAGAGGGAGCCAGGGGCCCCTCAGAGCAGGCCAGACGTGGCAGTGGAGAGAGCCCAGATAGGGGGAGGCGAGGGGCCCTGTTTCACACGTGCACAGACACACACACACACACACACACACACACTCTCTCTCTCTCTCTCTCTCTCTCTTTCAACGCTGGTCAGGTCTTGACAGGGATATTTGGGTAATAGGGTCTTCCTGACATCCGGTACTAAAACACCTGACTGCTTGGCTTTCTAGTGTCTGCTCTCTCCCCCCAGCAGCTTGACCATACCCTCACCCTTGATCCCTGCCCATGATGCTTTGAATGTCTGTTTTGGTCTCTTGCATTTGCTCTCACGCTGCACTCTGGACGCAAAGCGAAGGCTGGGAGTAGGGCAGACGGCGCAGCGGGTCACTGAGCTTGGGTCCGAGCCTGGCTCGTTGCTCCGTAGGTAGGCAAAACCCTTTTCTTTGTGTCCCCCTGCACCTCCCCTCCTCGGGGTTTGCCCCCATCGGCTATGGCAGCAGCGGATTGCTTTGGCATTTATCGATCGGGTTTTAGAAAACCAAACCAAACCAAGTTACACCAGACAACCCCACATACCGAGCCAAGAGTTTTTTGGTTTTGGTTTTTGTAAGAAAAAGTTTTTCTGTATTACCTTGGGCTTCTTTGTTGGGACTTTTCCTCCCTCTGCCCTTGGTAGGCTCTCTTGCCTCAGGTGTGGACAGCTCCAGAAAGGCTTCCTTGGTCCTGAGATACCCCCCCGATCCCCGCCACCGCTGCTCCCCCTGCCCCGCATACCCCAGCCTGAGCAGACCAGCCACCATGGGAGGCAGCCAGTGGGGGCTTTTCAGGCTCATAGCAGCCGGAGGTGGGGAGGGTCTCCAGAGACCAATCTTGCTTTGTGGGAAGCGAACCCTGGTTTTGGGTTTTTCCTTCCAAGTACTTTTTCCATGTTGAGGTGCGGGGATTGGGCTGCTGCTGGCTGACTGGTATCCAGTAGAGACATTCCAGGCATCCAGAAACCCAGAGCCAGCCCTCCCCCACTGCACATTGCTGGTGGGGAATCTTTCTGGATGGGGGAGAGTTCTGGAGTCTCCACACCTGAGCAGCCACGGAAGGTGTTCTCTAGAAGGGAAAACTGGCCACACATCTGATTCTGTGCCCCCACCCCAGCCAGCCACCGCCCCCCCCCCCCCCCCCCCCCCCGCCCAAATTGGCCGACCCCAGGGAGGCCTGATGTGGGGGACCCAGGCGCTGCCTTAAGTCTGCCTACACTTAGCCTGCTTTGCCGCTGTGGCCCACTGGGGCAGAGACAACCATGTGATGTCCGCAATGTGGATGGGTCGCAAGTGTGCACTGCCTGTCTGCCGCCTGTCTGCCCCGCTGGCCTCCATCCTGCTTCATCCATTGCTCTGGGAGCCGGGCCTCCCCCACTTCCTCTCCCTCCTCCCTCTCCTCCCCATCCTCCTCTTCCTCTTAACAACCCTCTGTCTCTGCCTCCTTCCTTTCTCAACGCCCTTCAGGGATTCCTGAAGCTCATGTCCACCTCCCTCACCCTAGAGACCCAGGCTCCCTCGGAAATTTGGGTAGGCAGACCCCCTGCCGCCCTTGGTGCACCCGGGGCCACCACTTGGGGCTGCTGGGTTGCACCCAAGCAAGCAGAGGTGGCTCGGGGTGTGGCAGGAGAACATGGAGTTGGATGGCTGTGTCTGCCCCTCTCCATTCCCTGAGCCCAGGCATTCCCTGCCCAAGATAGAGTGGGGGTCGGGTGGGGTGGGGCATGGGCCACCTCCTTATGTCCCTTCTCTCTGACTGCTGCAGAGAATTGCCTCTGGCCTTGCCTGGCCCTGCCCTGGGCTAGTGGCCCCCAGAGCCACCACCATGTGCCCAGCACTCCAGGCAGAGTGAGCAGGTGTCCCTGGGCAGTTAGCCCCCAGTGCCCTCGCCTGCCCACTCTCACGGTGTGAGGCTGTCTCCCCGGGAAGGTCAGGAGCAAGGTTGTAATCTCCCTGCAGTCTCTGTTCTTGGTGGAGAGCTTGGTTGACGTGCAGGGAGCACCCCCTTCCAGGAGACACTGGGTAACAAGGCAGCCAGGGAGCCCTGGGTTTGAGTTCTGCCTGAGTGCTGGGCCATGCCAAGCCTCAGTCTCCCGGCGCAGAGTGAGGTGAGCTGACCTACATGCCCTCCCTCCCTGGCTCCCCGTAGGTCAGGAGGCATAGCCAGCTTGTGGCTCCCTTGGCCCTGGGGACAGCGGTTTCTTTTTGTACAACAGGCTGGTCCTGTTTCTGTTTGGTCCTTGTTCAGCCTGCAAAGTGCTTTCTCCTTAGCTGGGTGAGTTGGGAGGACCGGCCCATGCCACAGATGAACAAAAGTGCTCCCAGAGGGCCAGGATTTACCCCAGGCTTCCCAGCTTAGGGGAATTGCTGGGAGTCAACTTTGGACCCCAGAGCCTGCTCAAGAAGAGATCGAACTCTACCTTCTCCTGTCACTAGCCCCAGAACCCATGCCCCGCCACCCCCACCAGTCCCCTGAGTCCCCGGCACCCTCACCCCACCCCCTCTCTGCCCCTCCCTGGCCTCCTCTTTCCTCTTCTCCTGCCTCCTTTCAGCCTTCATGTTGTACATCGGGGCGTGTGTGTGCGTGTGTGCGTGAGATGGTGGAGAGAGCTGTCTCCAGTCCTTGTCTGTGTGTCTGTCCCCTTCCCCACGGCACAGGTGCATGTTGGTGTTCCCCTTACAGAAACCCTCTGATTCCCAAAGCTGCTGCCCACCTCTGGGCTGTCCGGGATGCCCGCGTCTTGGGCTTGCTTTGATGGGGGCACTGGGCCATTGGCGGGGGTAGGGGGATCTGTGGGCTGGTATCGGAACCACCCCCGGCTGATGAGGAGTGAGGTTCTAGGCTGGAGCCGTGCACCCCTCGCTGGTGCTCCGGCTGAGTCGGGGCGGTGGGGGGCGGTACCTGCCGAGGCCAAGGCTCTGACTCGCCCCCTGTTTTCTGCACCAGATGAGAGCTCCGAGGAGGAGGAGGACGAGGAGGATGAGCTGGAGGAGGAGGAGGACGAGGCCGCCGGTGGCTATAGGCTGGGGGCCCGAGAGCGGGCCTTGTCGCCAGGCCTGGAGGAGAGTGGGCTGGGCCTGCTGGCTCGCTTTGCAGCCAGTGCCCTCCCCAGCCCCACAGTGGGGCCGTCGCTATCAGTGGTGCAGCTGGAGGCCAAGCAGAAGGCCCGGAAGAAGGAAGAGCGGCAGAACCTGATGGGTAAGTACGTACTGGCAGGTGGCACGCAGGGACACCACTGTCCCGTCCTGCAGGCCGGAAACGGGCTCGGAGAAGGGTAGGGGCAGAGCTGGGGGCTGGGGGAGCCCTGCCTCATGGGCCGGCCCCATGTGAGCAGCGTGGTACTGGTACTTGCCCCAGGAGGGGTTCCAGAGCTATGCAGGCTAACCTTCACTGTTCATGCCCCTGACTTCCCCTGTCATAGCCTGACTCCCCCATTTTAGGTGCCTGGTGATAGGTAGCTCCAGGAAGCAGAGAGGCCTCAGGTCTGCACTGTGGGGGGCTGTAGAAGCCCAAGGGAGAGGCCGCTCCAGGCAGGGGACACCCAGGCTGACCCATGAGAGAGAGGTGGGAATCGGCTAAGTATACGTAGAACTAGAGGTACAGGCCCGCCAAGTCTGGGCATTCGAGGCGGTTCACTTGGTGAGATGGGCATGAGGCCTGGGGTTGGGACCTGGAAAAAGGTCATCACTGTGGGTGGTCGTGTGCCATGTCACTGTTAGCTGTGCTTACTGTCCCATTTCCCTGATGGGCAGATGGAGACAGCTGGCCCTCAGGCTCGGGCAGGAGGCTAGGCCTTGTCCTGGCCCCACTTCCTTCCTCTTTACATCCCCAGTCATATGCCTGCCTTCTTGAGACAAACAGGGGACCACCTTTTAGGCCCACCCCATTCTTGCCTGGCCAAGTGTCTCCTCGTGGGGTGTTGGGGAGCATGTGTGTTCAGGGTGTGCACTCACCTGGCCTCAGCCTGGTTAAGTCCTCGGCCTGGCTTTCCTGCCCTTTTCTGAACCTCTGGGGTCCATGTGAGGCCCTCTGGCAGGGGCTGCGACAGGGAGAATGAGCACTGGGGTGCTAGCCTGTTCTACCCCCTGGGTCTCCCCCAGGTGCTCCTGGCTTCATGTCCTGCAGGCTATAGGACAAAAGCTCATTCCTATGGTCTGTACCGCCTCATGGGACCTCATCTCTGGGGCAGCCTCACATTCTTCAGGCCCTGACCTTGCCTCTTTCAGCTCTTCCTTCTCCCTCCCTTTCACCCCCACCATGTCCTGCCATTGTTCCCTGGGGGATTTGGGCCTGGCTCTTCTGGGCAGTGGCGCTGGCTTCCCTTCTGCTTACTCCTCTTGAGTATTTTTCATACATAAGCAGTTGGAGGGCTCTTAAAGCTCAAACTTGATCAGACCACTTCCCCTGCTGAGAACCTCTGACTGGTTCCGTGATGTCCTGTGGTCACGTGCCACCTGTCTGACCCCTTCCCCATTAGGCTTGTGGCTACCCAGAGAGCATCATCCTGTCCACAGCCCCTGTCCTCATCCCTGAATGCGTCAGCCATCTTAGAATTCGCAGACTTCTGCGTTTTATCCAGGTTCTCAACTGTATTGGCAAAGAGTTCCCCTTTTATACTTTGAAGTCTGAGGGGTCTGTAGTGATGTCTCCTTTTTCATTGTCAAACCAGATAATTTGTTTCTGCTCTGTTTCTTGATCAGCATGGCTAGAAGTTATCAATTTCACCGATTTCTGCTCTTTTTTATTTCCTTCCTTCTCTTCTGGTGTGTTGCCAACCATTTCCTATTTTTTAACATGCAGGCTTAGGTAATCAGCTTGGGGCGTTCTTTTCTTGTGGAGACATTAGAAGTTCTCTCTGAAGCTTGCTTTAGCTGCATCTCACTTGTCTCTTGTCCTTTTTTCATTATTAATCTCAGTTCAACATGTTTCTTAATTTGATTTCTACTTTTCATTCAGTGATTAGTTAGAAGTATTATTTTCCAAATATTGGTGGGGGTTACTTGGTTATTATATTACTGATTTCTAATGTCATTCCATCTTGGTTAGAGAAAATACTCTATAATTTCAGTCTTTTAAAACTAAAACTTTGAGGGCATATGGTATTTCATAGTAAATGTATCATGCGCACTTAAAGAATGTGTATTCTGGGGCGCCTGGGTGGCTCAGTGGGTTAAGCCTCTGCCTTTGGCTCAGGTCATGATCTCAGGGTCCTGGGATCGAGCCCTGCATCAGGCTCTCTGCTCAGCAGTGAGCCTGCTTCCCCCTCTCTCTGCCTACTTGTGATCTCTCTCTCTCTCTCTCTCTGTCAAATAAATAAATAAAATCTTAAAAAAAAAAAAACAAAAAACAACCAAAGAAAAAACCCTAAAACTTTGAGGGCATATGGTATTTCATAGTAAATGTATCATGCACACTTAAAGAATGTGTATTCTGGGGAGCCTGGGTGGCTCAGTGGTTAAGCGTCTGCCTTTGGCTCAGGTTATGATCCCAGGGTCCTGGGATTGAGTCCCGCATCAGGCTCCCCACTCAGCGGGAAGCCTGCTTCTCCCTCTCCCACTCCCCTTGCTTGTGTTCCCTCTCTCACTGTCTCTCTCTCTCTGTTAAATAAATAAATAAAATCTTAAAAAAAAAAAAAAGCGTGCGTATTCTGATGCCATAATATACAGTGCTCTGTAAATCATTCAGTTCTATCAGGCAAGGCAGTGTGATTGGAGGTGTTAAGATCTTGTGAATCTTGGGGCGCCTGGGTGGCTCAGTGGGTTGGGCCTCTGCCTTCAGCTCAGGTCATGATCTCAGGGTCCTGGGATCGAGCCCCGCATCGGGCTCTCTGCTCGGCAGGGAGCCTGCTTCCTCCTCTCTCTCTGCCCACCTCTCTGCCTGCTTGTGATCTCTCTCTGTCAACTAAACAAATAAAACCTTTAAAAAAAAAAAAAAAGATCTTGTGAATCTTTGCTGGTTTTTGTCTAGTGTTACCAGTTGCTTACAGATGGGTATAAATTGCAGGATTTTCTTTCTCCTTGTAATTTAATTCTATAGATGTTTGCTTCCTGTATTTGAAGCTCTGTTATTAGGTACATATATACATTTATGATTTCCTGTTTTCCTGTTAAATTGGTCTTTTTATCATTACAAAGTATTCTTTCTATCTATCTCTTAATATGTTTTGTTTCGAAATCCCTTTTATCTGGTAGTAAACAGTCACTTCACCTGTCTTAGCCTTCCTATTTGCATGGTATATCTTTTCCTGGTCATTTACTGTCATCTTACTTTCATCTTCATACGTATTTATTTAAAATATTTTATTTATTTATTTGACAGACAGAGATCACAAGTAGGCAGAGAGGCAGGCAGAGAGAGAGGAAGGGAAGCAGGCTCCTTGCTGAGCGGAGAGCCCGATGCAGGGCCCAATCCCAGGACCCTGGGATTGAGACCTGAGCCGAAGGCTGTGGCTTTAACCCACTGAGCCACCCAGGTGCCCCTCATCTTCATATTTAAAGTGAGTCTCTTACAGACAGCTTAACAGTTGGGTCCTTTTCCTTTTTTTTTTTCTTTTTTTTAAAGATTTTATTTATTTATTTATTTGTCAGAGAGAGAGAGAGCACACACAAGCAGGCAGAGTGGCAAAGGCAGAGAGAGGAGGCAGAGAGAGAAGCAAGCCCCGTACTGAGCAAGAAGTCCGATTCGGGACTGGATCCCAGGACCCTGGAATCATGACCTGAGCCAAAGGCAGCTGCTTAACAGACTGAGCCACCCAGGCGCCCCAGGGGAGTTTTAGGTTCATAGCAAAATTGAGAGGAAGATACAGAGATTTCTCTATGCCCCCTGCCCCCTACCACATGCACAGCCTCTCCCATTATCAACATTATCCCTCCCAGTGGTTTCACTTGTTACCACTGAGGAACCTACAGGCCACAGACGCGTCACTCCGCCAGAATCCGTAGTTTACGTTAGGATTCGCTCCTGGTGTTGGACAGTCTGTGGGTTTGGGCAGACTTACGTAGGCACCCTTGTACTGTCATACAGAGTAGTTTCACTGCCTAAAAGCCCTCCGTACCCCACCCCTTCATCTGTCTCCTCTCTGCATGCCTGGCAATCCCCGATACTCTGTCTCCGTAGTTTGCCTTCTCCAGAATGTCATGTCGTTGGAATCATACAGCCGGGGGGCTTTTCAGATTGGCTTCTTTCAATTAATCATATGCATTAAGAAGTTTCTGCATGTCTTTGGTGACTTGTTAGCTTGTTTGTTTTTAGCTCTGAATCATATCGCATTGTCTGGATGGGCCACAGTTTGTTTATTCCTTCACCTACTCAAAGGCGTCTGGGACATCTTGGTGACATCCGAGTTTGGCAGTTTTGACCAAAGCTGCTATAAACATCTGTACACAGTGTTTTTGCATGTGGATGTAAGTTTTCAGCTCCTTTGGGTAAATACCAAGGAGTGTGACTGCTGGATCACATGGTAGAAGTCCTTTTGGTTTTGTAAGAAATTGCTGTAATGTCTTTTGTTACAAAGTGGCCGCCCCGTCTTTGCATTCTTTTTTTTTTTCTTTTTTAAGATTTTATTTATTTATTTGACACAGAGAGAGAGAGAGAGCACAAGTAGGCAGAGAGGCAGGCAGGGGCAGGGGAAGCAGGCTCCCCGCTGAGCAGAGAGCCCGACGCGGGGCTCGATCCCAGGACCCTGAGATCATGACCTGAGCTGAAGGCAGAGGCCTAACCCACTGAGCCACCCAGGTGCCCCTGTGTGGTGGTATCTTGTTTGAATTTGCCTCTCCCTAGTAACATGACGTGGGACATCTTTTCGTTTGCTTATCTGCCATCTGTGTAACTTGCGGCGACATGTCTGTTAGGATTTTTGACCCACTTTTTAAAATTGGGTTGTTTTCTTAATGCTGGATTTTAAGAGTTCTTTATCTGGTTTTGGAAAACAGTCCTTTATCGGGTGTGTCTTTTGCAAGTGTTTTCTCCTAGGCTGTGGCTTGTCTTTTCATTCTCTTTATAGTGTCTTTCACAGAGCAGAAATGTAAAATTTTAGGAAGTCCAGCTTCTGTGGATTGGTCCTTTGGTGGTGGTATATCTAAGGGTTCACTGCCAGACTCAAGGTCATCTAAATTTCTCCTACATTATCTTTGAGGAGATTTTGAATTTTGCATGTTAACTTTAGGCCTGTGATCCGTTTTGAGTTAATTTTTTTTTCA